TTTTTTATCCTATTCTAAACTCAGGTTCAGGTAAAGAGGGCGAGTTGTGTTATGAAAAGCAAATAGTTAGAAAAAGCTTTGATGATGATGATGACGATGGTAGGGTTTTTAGAAATTTTTTAGAATTATTGAGAATTTTGAGATATTTTTTTATTTTTTATAGGTATTTATGGAATTTGAAAATTTAGAAGAGTGTAATGAATTTGTCTTAAAAGGGCATGAGATTTCTCTTGGGGTGACAATGGAACGGATTCGACCCGGTACCCAATGGGTATACTTGACCTCGAGCCTTGTTATGGATTCAAATTTTGGACCCAAATATTATTCGAGTCCGGGTTTGGGTCCAGCCGGACCCAACCCGTACCCGTAATCATAGGGTATATGATGGCAATCATGTGACTTTAGATGCGCACTAAGTATTCATATCGTCACAATATTGGCAACATTTACGGTATTATTGGCAAAAAAAAAAGAAACTCACAGTCATAAAGTATATGATGGTAAAAAACAAAGGCAAAAACAAAAAACAAAAAAAAGTCTGTAGTCATAGGGTAGCAACGGATCCGACAAGAATAGGGAGCCTACGTGTCCGAGTACAGGTCCAAATTTTGGACCCAAATGCTATTTGGGTCTGAGATCGGGTCTAGCCGAACTTGACCCATGCAAAACCCGTCGCCACCCCTAGTTTCTCTCACTAAGGGAAGCTCATAATTAAAGTTTCAAACCCTTCACAAATAAGAGTCAAGGGTTATGTAGAGTTCATAAACATAGGTGGAAAATCAATAATGGGACTTAAAAAGGATAGATTTACCGAATTTGGCTTGGGCTAGGCCAAAATGAACATTTTTATTGGTCAAAGCTTGAAATATATCATTAATATACCCTTGCGCATCTCTCTCTTGCCACCATCCTTTTTGTTTTAATGTGTTTTCCTCGTTTTTGCTTAAATTTTCTCTTGAATTTTGTGGAAAAAATTACCACGATCATTTTTATAATAAAAATTTCAAACATTAAGGGCTTGTTCGCTTGGCATCAAACTTTTAAAGTATCATTTTGAAATTTAGTAGTCCACCCTTTATTGGCTATTATTAGACAATCAGCCATCAAAACTTACGAGGACTCATCCTTAAGATATTTGAGAAGAAATTTGGATCTAGACTTCAAGAATTGATGGAGTTATTATCAAATTATTGGGTATTCTTCCATTTTTAATGGTCTTTAATTTTTGGGCAACTTCTCTTGAATTGGTTTTGAACTCCATGACAAATTGTAATGGTGTGAAGGGGTTCGAGTAGGAACATATCTGCAATTTTTGACCTCTAAATTCTTCATGGATCGTGAAATATGGGTCCAAGAGTGGGTCGAGGTTATGGGAATTGCAACAAATGGATCCACTTTGGATAGAGAGCTTATTGAGACGGAAACATTACATCAAAATTTGAGCTCATTCGGCCATGGGAATCGTGAGATATGATCAAATATTTGAGAAGATGAAAACTTTAACGTTGCTAGAAAATTTTTCTTCATTGCTAGCTCATAGTCACATTGTGTAGTTTTTTACAAGAGTTTTGTGGTATGACTTGCTAAAGGCTGCTTTAAAAATGGCGCTTTTCCACATTGACCTCAAAGTTTGGAACTTAAAATTTTGCCTCTCCCATAAAAGTTTCAGCACCATTGAACCTTGGATTTATTCGGGCTTTTGCATAAATCTGGGGCCAATTTTGAACAGGATGCTCCCGTGAGAGCATAAATCTTTTGGCATAATAATACTTGGGGAATAAAAATTGAGGGAATCAATGAACATGATAAACTAGCATAGTGGAGCATTATAGGAATGTGCTTATTGCTATAAAGCTTACCGATGTGGATTAGAATGCAATACCTCTTAGAAAGCACAAAGGGATAGAAAGATGAGAGACCTTTTACCAAACATGAAATCAAGCGTATTTAGTTTGGTGGGGTGGCTTTGCCTTAGGCTTCTTTCATCATTTTTGGGATGTGGTTAAAGAGGATGTGAAGCTGATGATAAGTGAGTTTTACCAGAGAGGTAAGAGTGAATAAATCAATCAGTGCTGATACCAAAAATGGGGCCAGTGATGTAAGACCTAATAGTTTACTTACAAGACTATATAAGATATAGCTAAATATTTAGCAAAGAGATTGAGAGAGGTGTGACCAGTAGTGATAGATGGACAAGAGTCAACATTTGTAAAATGGTGACAAATTACGGATAGTATATTGTGTGCCCGAGAATGCATAGCTTTTAAGGAAAGCTAGGAATGAGGCTGGGTTTATGTGCGAGATAAGACCTTGAAAAAGTTTATGACAAGGTCGATTGTGGTGTCTTAATGAAGGCTACAACCGAAATGAGCTATGGTGAAAGGTGAAGAAAATGGACAGATGGATGTTCAACTATTTCAATCAGTGACCAACCAAAAGAATTATTTGGAACAACAAGGTTGAATTCTTATGAGCGATAAGGGAATTACAATAGGGAGACCCACTGTCCCCTTTTTAATTTACAGAGAGTGGGGAAAAAAAAAGCCCATTGGGGTATCTTTGTAATGGGGAGGAAGTGAGAAGTTCACGAGGACACTAGGTTGTGGAATTGGGAAGCTCCTGATATGGCATTTGGGGTTACCCTAGACAAATTCAAAGACTTTGAAGTTAAAATGGGATCCACTGGTTCAATGGATGCAGTATAAAATGGATTTATTGATATCCAAATTTTAGTCCATTGGATGAAAACTGGCATTGGTGAAAAACATTATCCAATTGGCATATATACTACATATCCCTACCGAGGATACCATACCGAGAATACCACATGACATGGCAAAGATACTTGAGCGATTGATGCAAAGGTTCTTATGGGGACAAACAGAGGAGAGCAGGAAATTCAGTCAGTGGCATGGGATAAGCTGGGCCCGCCAAAGAAAGATTGTGAAATGGAAGTTAAGATATTAAGGAATTAGAAATGGTGCACTGTTAACAAAATGGTGATGGAGGTGGCAAATGAAGAAGATGAACAACTGTGGAAAAAATCTCCAAAGGAAAATATGGTTTAGATATAGAGCATAATATGGTAGTTAAAAGTCTAAACAAAAAGGGCACAACCCAAAAGGGGTTGTAGCCTATAGGGAGATGATTTTAAGGAATACGCATGTGATGGTGGGAGACAAGGATAGAACAAGGTTTCGGCACCAGAAATAGATCGGAGACAAATTGTTAAAGGTACAGTTCGCTGCATTGTTGGTGCTGTCAAAGAGCTCTAAGATTAAGGATATGGTTTCTAGATCTGGTACCATGAAACGTGGGATATAAAATTCATATATGATAGACAACTAGAAGAGGTGGTGAATCAATATTTAAGCTGTTTAGAGCTGGTAAAACAACAACATTACCACTGCCTAAGAATGCATAAGGTGATTTGGAAAACAAGCTCCATGGTTTGGTTCACTTTAAGCTCCATGTATATGTCGTTAATCGATGACAGATGACCGACGAAGATGGAGTGAAGCCAGATTTTGGAAGCTTCCATTACCAAGTTGGGTGTTTCTTATGGCTCTAAGCCAAAACCAACTGCTGATGATTGATGTGCTCGAGAAAATAGGGGAAATCATTACTAACATATGCAAATAGGATGAAGAACATAACGATCATTTGTTTTATGTACATAAGGCAGATATGGTGTTGGGTAATGATGGAGGTAGGAATTGATTGTGGTGAATGATACCAATGAAATATTTACACACCGGCAGTTACCAAATGTCACAGGACTACATAGAATAATGTGAGATTATGAAAAGGCAGAATGGTGTGGGAAGTTTTGAAAGAGAGAAACAGGAAATCTTTTTGAGGGTAAAGTGGTGGGTAGTGGGGTTGGGTCCGGGTTGATCCTGACCTAGATTTGACCCGAGTAGATCTTAGCTAGATACGGATTCGAGTAAGTTCCAAGTCAGTTGGACCTGGACCTAACCCACCGGGCCAAGTACAATTAGGGTCTATAAATAAAAAAAATAAAACAAAATTATTTTATATATACTGTATTATATAGTTAACAAAAATTGTATGATTTTTGCATAGGGTCCGTTCTAGTTGACCTCAAACTGACTCCACATGATCGAAGGTCAGGTCAAGGTCAATGAACCCAAACCCGACACATAGGGACAAATGTCTAGATCTAGACACAGACCCACTTGGGTAGACCCATCAGGCCCGCAGGTCAATTCGAACGATGGGTCAGCCCAAACCATTTCCCACCCCAAATGCGTAGGAAGGAGTTAGTTGAGAAGATGAGGATGGTGATCGCTGGATGGCATATATTAGGAAGGAGTTTTGTGCGGTAGCGAAGTTTGTTTCTATGCATATGATGGGGGTAGTGTTATCCGGTTCCAGTATGGGAGCCACCTAAGGATGGTATATTAAGTTGAACTTCAACGGGCGTTTGTCAAGAGCTCATAATCCTTTGTAGTTTGTACTAAAGTAACATTATGGCCTGCAGGGCTGGCTTCAGCTAATAATGCTGAGTTGCAGTCCTCAATGCAAGTGGTCAAAATGGCAGAACAGTCTGGTTTTAAGCTAATTATTGAAAGTGCCTAAGCAAATGTTATTAAATGTTTTTAAAAGCAAATGTTACTAAAAGGAAATGGAGGTAGCATGGTCCTTCATGATGATATGGGAAGAAATAACGATTGATGTGCTAATAAAGTTCTTAGATCTATACATGCGTATAGAGAGAAGAATTCCATTGCTGATGGCTTGGCTAAAGAAGGGGTAGAAGCGCAAGAATTGATTGTAATTTGATTTGGGTAGTACAAGAGCAGGGTTTTTAATGGGCATGGGGTGGATGTATATATGTTCAGATTGGGTAGAAGAATAATTGTAATGTATACGGATGGTCACAAACTCTGTAAGTGTGACTTTTGTATAATGTAGTTGTGAATAAAGCAATAAATGTCACCTTTGTTAAATAAAACACACACTCACACATATAGGGAGAGAGAGAGTTCTAATCAGAACTCAAATTGGAAGCATATCATAGTCTCACGCCGGAAACTAGTTAAAAAATGGCAGTTTACAAGGGAATAGTTCAAACTATATCACAAATGAATAACACAACAGAAAAATGGAGAAAATTAAATGGAGTCTCTTCCTCTCAAAGGGAAGAGAATCCTTGACCTTAAACAAACTTCTCTGTCAGCTCTCCTGGAAACTAACCATAACAACTTGCTTTAACATTTCTTTTGTCGATTGAGGAGCTCGTGACTATGAGATCTCAGTTGCCATGGCTTTCGACTCCACATATATTATACATCAACAGCAGGAAATTGCTGAATGGCACATGCGGCACAAGCTTACAGACCAAAACCACATACCATACCGCTCTTGAACAGAGGAAAAACAGCTCATAACAACTCTACATTTCATAAAAACTCTCTCTCTCTCTTCCCACATTTTTTGAACCTTTGCACTCTTATAAACCCGGAGGAAAGTTGTTGACTTGTCCTTGTTCAAGCATGTCCTGATTGTCAACTTTGTATGCCACACGTATCCTCATTGCAAGGGCTTTCTGTGATGCCAAAAAGAAAGCAAACATGAGCTTCATAATTCAAATCAACATAGCTTTCATGGGCATATTTCATGCATGACAACAACCCTATACGACTAAAATAACAATAGTAATTCAACAAGAAATCAATTAATACTGCCAGCATATTAGTATGAGTTTCCAGCAGTCAGCAAATATAACTTTAAGTAGCGTGATCATATGCCATCTATATTCAAAGAGGTATTCGTGCTACACTGCAACGATTATACGAATTAAATAATGGGGCATTAGTCTATTGGTAGCCACAAAAAGAATGGCTACTACAAACAAAGTTAAGGAATAGAAACAATGTAACTAGAACTTCATATAGAAGCACAAATATGCACAATCACACCTTGATGCTTTCAAACTTTGTAATTTGAGGATTTTAATGCATAAAAACCCAGGCATAAAAGTACAAAACTAATGTCTCTATAACGGACAACTTGGAACTAGAAGTTGAGGGCACTCTGGAGGTGAATGAAATTGAGAGAGCTCGGGATATTAAGAGAATATATAATACATAATAGATTGATTATCTGGGTAGTAAATATCTGTAGCACATGGATATTAGATATCTTTTTGTTGCAAACATTAGTTGAATACATGGATAAATACAAAAACACAAATAAACATCCATGCATGCATGTGTTATAGTAAACTCGTTCTATAAAATATAAGTATTCATAAAATTAAATTATAACATATACAGGAAAATGTATAAAAATTAAAAATCTCCAGCATCTGAGCAATGTATAATAAATATATCGCCTTTTGCTATGTGAAGTGATCAAATATTTGGGGCATTAAGTCATCTCTGCTTTCATTGATCCACAAATGCAGATTACGGAGGATGCATTTCACCTTAATCGCATTTCTACAAACAATGCATCTCCTGTTAATTAAATCGACCAAGAATAATAACGTTATAACTAAATGCGGGTCCACTATAATTTCTAAATATCATGGAGTTAAATGTCAATCCATACCACAACAACAATTAGACAAAAGCAGAACATGTAGAAATGGATACTGCATGGGCTGCCAAATAGCGATCACATGATGTCTTTATATGAGAGCACCTAATGCTCAGTAGGATGAAAAGGTACTGTTACCTGACGATGTTGTTTATTGTCGAGGGTCAAATGTTGTGTGATTGAACCGCCATTTGCAGGAAGAACGTTACCGCTGGCAGGATCCAAGCGAAGCATGACAAACTGAAAAGTGAAAAATGTAAAACTCAAATATAAGTAACTGAGATAAACGCAAAGAAAAACTGTGGCCAGCACAGACTGTTTCTAACAAGTCCCTGATGTGACAAAATTAGTCATAAGGTCTCACTGATATGATAATTTAATATAATTCGATCTTATTGCTACATGTACAGAACTGAACTCACATAATAGGATATACAATAAAAAGGCCCTTTTTTTATTTCCAGTGTGGTGATTAATATTAAAGCAAGTGTAGTCGTATATGCATCTAGAACTTTCAATATCAGTGAACACACAGTATTAGAAAAGAACAATTACAAGATGGCATCTAATAATAATATATTCAAAATTTGAATATTCATAGCAACAAATCCACAACCCCCCCCCCCCCCCCCCCCCTTTTCCAATCTGTTTCTTTCACATTTATAGTTTAAGGTTGAGCTAAACTACATGATGCATCATTTATAGTTAAAAAACCCATGCAGCTCAACCCAGGACTTCCTGTGTTATCGACTCGCCACCTAGTGCAGTGGATATACTCACTTAGGATTCCAAAAAATGGACCAAACTTTTAGGTTTATGAATGTCGAGGATTTTTTTTTCTTTATAAAGTTTTCATGCATTAATAATAACAATAACAATAATGGTAAAAGTAATCATTTAATAATGATGATCAATTGATGATAATGATGATCATGGTAGAAATACTAATAGTGGTAGCAGCAGCAACAGCAGCAGTTGCGGTAGCAACTATAGCAGTAGTGGTAGTAGGAGAAGCGACGTGAGTTATACCGATAACAAATACTTGAATTTTTCTATTCTTGATTCAAAAGGTCCAAAACATCATCATCTTCCAAGACATATCCCAACTATTTGGGATTGACTACACAAATCTTGTTCCGCCATCAAAAGGTCCAAAACATCAAAGAGAAAATTCTTTTTTAAGGCTCATTATCTATCATTTTATTATAGTATTTAACGATAGAAAGATACACTAAGACATTCAGAATGAATCAAGTCAGGGTTATCAAGTTGTGTTCTCTAATATGTAGGCCGAGCGGAATCCAATTCCCACGTTTTTGAACCATGATATTATGAGTATCATTTTCATTCACCACAGGAGTCTAATGCAGTTTGAAATTTAACCATGTAAGTCCTATTAAGCGAGGCAATTAACTATAGAATTGTTCTTTGAAGGTTCCAATCGACTAAGAAGGGGACACTTTGCTGGTGTAGTGCTATTGAATAGTTTGACATCTCAGAACCCTCGCTGAATTCCATTTCTTTCTCGTAACAGATTTTCTAGGGAATCATATCCACAACTCAGTACCATTATTGTAAGGCTCTGCACATGTGAAGTTTTCGTGTCCTTGGAAACAGACAGGAACCCATAACTTCAACAATTGAATTTAGAAGAATACAACTATTAGATTTGCAATTTATGGATTTGTGACAATTGATTCCAGCAATCATCTTAAGGTAATGGATTTATCTCGTGATACAGCCGGAGTGGAAGGTGCAGTTGCGGGAACGGAGGATCATCCCTAGCCAAAAATTCCCTACCTAAGGAGTGCATAGTATTGCTTGTCTGAGAAAGCCCTAAAAGCGCCTCAAGAATTTACATTTTATATATAGGGAGTGATTTCATGCAACGGTTTATAGTAATATAATAAACAGCCTTCAAAAACCATGTTCGGGCCATTTGTTTGATCCCAATTTTTAAATATACATTCTTTTCATTCTAGTGAACAATTAAAAAAAAACAAAATTTGAAAACACACCCTAAAAAGTATTTTTTTATCCTAATTAATATAAGTTGTTAATTTTTGTAAGATTCTTATATCTAAGCCTTAGAAAGATTTTTTTTCCTTTCCAAATTTTTTAGATAGCTTTATTATTATAACAATGTTGAAACAGAAAAAATTATTTTTAAATTTGTGAAGCTTAGATGTTGAAATGCACCAAATAGATGGTCGAGATTCATTGTTGGAAGGCCCTCATTTTGACCATATCTAGGGTGCAAATTGAATTTTACATTTTTCGGATTGATTACTAGGATGAAGAGAGAGTGTGTGCAAAATTTGCAGCAATATAAATGCCACAAACATAGTAGTCTAGGAGTGTGGCTTCATTATATCACAATGACGACAAGGAGACATGAAAATCATTCCCTTGATATATACATATGCATACATAATAAATGTAACTAGGAAGGAATGTTAGGGAGTGCCCTTAGAATATATATCTTATAATTTTTATTATATATTATATGTATTATATTATATTTGGGATAATATATAATATAATATCGTATATTATATATTATATATTACATATTATATACTATACAGTATATATCACACATTATATATTATATATTATAAACAAATGCTTCATTTGCTAATATTATAAACACATGATCCACAAATATTCCAACGTGAAAGAGTCCAAAAACAAAATTGAGATTGTAGGCCCATGAAAAGAGAGAGAAGTCATATTTTTCTTTGAACTACCATAATCTTTAAATGATATTCGTGAAGCCTTGAGTTCTGTCTCCATTCTATCAATATAAGCATCTAATCAACATACATAGATACACATATGTATGCACACGCACACGCACACGCACACGCACACGCACACGCACACATACACGACTATGGTATAATGAGAAGGAGAACAGAGTCATCTGTATAATTGACAATTCTTCTAATCATATATCGGTTACCAAAAGAAAAATAAAATAAAATCTAAGCATATATAGAATGAACATGTATTGCAATCCCATGTTAAATGAGATCGAGATTCCATTTCATCAGGAGTAAGCTCCCAAGGAGGTTAGTGATGCGGCTAAACTATGGAGACTGAAACTAGTGAGAGAGAATCAGAAAGCGAGAATGTAGAGAGAAAATTGGTGGGAGTCAAGGGTCACCACAATACTACAACAAATTGCTCTGTTCAAACGAGTTACATAAAACATAAGCCTCCAAAATAGTCACGTCCCACCCATACATGCTTGTTGTTTTCATAAATTACAATACACGTTTAAAACTACCACGTTCCCTTTACAAAACCCACGAGTTTCTAAGCTTATTCCAATTCCCTATCCTAGGAAATGACTCACGTTGACTCTCTCACTTCATGCAAAACTTTGAAAACCCACTATTACTCCTTTCTAGGCTTACTGAAACTAGAAGCCCAAGTTGGGTTCATGGGTCCTAATATGACCTACATCAATTAGCTCCAGGAACACACAAGACAACTGCGTTGCCTGAGTCTGAGTGGTAGCATCCCCTAGGGAGGCACTCCCATAACTATGAGTGGGAGTAGAATAAAATTTCTTACATATGAATATGGCCCCCACGTGCCAACATCAATACCATATACTTGATATATCGGCCCTTACTCCCATTTCTCCTGTTTTCCTTTTTGATGCATATGTCTCTGTTCATATGTACTTGTTCGAGTGCAACTAATGTATACATACATAATCCCCCACTAATAAATAAAGGAAAATTGTTTCATGAGTCGGGGGGCGCATTTCTACTTGCGTCCCCCGAGGTATAAAGCATCCATTTTAAAGATGGATGCAAATGAGCGGTCCATCTAAAAACAATTTAAACTAATGGTCCAAATGTTCTCTTTATAAAACTATTACTTTTAATTTTTAAATCTATTTTTTTTCATATTCATGATCTCCATGTTAGAGATTATGTCCTTAAAAATTGGGTCAAAAAATCCATCTCAAAAATAGATTTTAAGAGGGGACTCATTTCTACATAGACTCATAGAAATCATGTCCATAAATAGAATGTCACTTTGAAAAAAATTTCGACTGCATTCTCTAGTGTCTAGGCCATATGCAAGCAAAAGTTAGTGCCACATCATATTTTAGCACTTCTTTAGGTAACACTACTCGGTATATAGATGCGAATTCCTCTGTTGCCTTTAGCAAAACAGATTGTCATATTCACAAAATCCATCATGCCTTGTATTAGCTCGCCAATTACCTAATCAAAATTAGATTTTTCCTTCTCTTTTTCTTCATAATTTTTGCTACATATAGAATGCTGGAATTTGGAAATTTGTTAGAAACCATAGGGTGAGGACCACTTTGGATACCCATATAAGTCACAATACCAAGCTGCCTCAATCAAAAACAGGTTTTTAAAGTTTCGCAACAGTCACAGATATGTTAGGGTTAACATATAACTGGAGAAAATGTTCTATAGCAATCAGGTTGTACCAAACACCGAACACCAGGGCTTTTCCATATTACATGGTGCTATTCGCAACTGGATGCCATAAAGTCCTATTTGGATTACAGATTGGAGGCTGCCAGAGAAGACATACTTCACCATCTTGTCAAATGTTCTCATTATTTTCTCATATGCTGTATCTGTTCTGATGTTGCTGGCATTCACATAGAATCTGCGGAATGAAAGACAACATAATACATTGATTCAAAAAGCAGTCCACTCAGCGCCTAGGCAGCCTAAGGGGCCTGGGAGGACCAACAAGACAGGCTGTCCCTTGGGCGCCTGCCTAGTACCCTGCCTAGGTGGGTGCCCAGGGGACTGTGCCCGCCTACATGCAAAAATATCCATCGAGTGGTGTATTTTTGGTGTTTTTTTTTGTTTGGATTATAAAATACATTTTTTATTCAAAATCTGGACCTAAAACAGGATTATTGGACATCCATTGCCCTCTTTTGAACCTGGGCTGTGCAGGTTCTGGGCGACCTAGACCCCCTCATCCGCCTAGGCGCCACTAGGCATTTTCTGGAACACTGACATAATTTTAGGCTCTTTTGGTCAGTCAAGTCGAATGTATTGAATGCTGCCAACAACAATGAGCAATTAGTTTTAAACTGCTGTAGAAGACAACACTTTCATTTGTTTCCTGATATTGCTCACTTCGAAGTTTAAGGCTCAGGATATATTTGTTCTCTATTCTCTCTGAGAGAACCTTTCAAATCCACCATGGCAAGTAATTAGTAAGAACTCACATAGGTTGATTGTTGTTTCCAAAGTGTAGTGACTTTATAAAGGTGCATGCTACACTATCAAACATAGTTTATCCTTCATTACCAACCAGCGGGGATAAGAAGGCCATGCAACTGGTTAGCACCAACCCAGGGCAGCACCAAGCTAAATTTCGACAGGTGCTCCTTGGGGAACCCTGGTCCAGCAGGGGCAGGAGAAGTCTTTTGAGATTTTGAAGGCAATATACTCCTCACCTTCTCCGAATACCTCGGCCTCAAGGACTCTCACCACGTGGAAGCCTTAGCTCTCCTCCTAGCTTTAAAAAAATTCAACCCCTCCTGGGGCACAAGTCTGATAGTGGAAGGTGACTCAAGAAATGTCATCTCTTGGGCTAGTAGAACGTGTGATCCACCATGGCTTTTGACCCAAGTTTTTGCCGAGGTTCAACACATTTGCAGGGCTATGGACATCTCATGGCAGCATACCTGCCGGACGTCCAATGATATCGCGGATTGGCTGGCGAAGGAGGGTGCTAGAAGACAGGGCTAGGCTGCTCATACTGGGTTCACTTTCTCTTTTGCATTGGACCAGTGAACCTATCTAAAATTTTTTAGGTCTTTCTCTTTTCTTTTTGGCTCTGTACTTCTCGAGGCTGCGGGGCAATTTTATAAGCCCTGTCCTTGCATCTTCCATGTAAATCTTTGTTAGGGGGGAATTCTTATAACCCAATTACTGTACTGGGTCTACCGACCTATTTTTTACCGGAAGCCCCGTCTAGAGGGCACTCCCGGAGGAACACTATACTGTAATCTCTCTTTTACAGCAATACAAATGTTAACGTTTCTCAAAAAAAAAACATAGATCCTTAGGTTACAGAAAAATGGTATAGCAAAAACGAATTATTCATTCATTTTTTGAACAAACTCTGTCCAAAATTACCTCAGATTTCTTGGCAGAAGTTGCCCTAATTGCAACTCATCCTATTCATAGAATGACTATACTACTTCTTTATAATATCTACTCTATTTTTTCTGTTCCCAAATGAATTTCCAACAAGAGAGCTGTAGAACACGTGGCATGAGAAGACCATTGAGGACGAGATCGATACACAAGAACAAAGTCATATCCTTCAAATTTAGAACCTCTTCAGCTACACCTATTGAGATCAAGTAATTTTATGTTCAACACATTATGAGATGGATATAAATGCTTTGTCAACATTTCAACAGTGAGAGAGAGAGAGATAAATGCTCATTTGGTAGCTTTGCTACATATGAATATGCAATAGACCAAGAAGAAGCCTCTCAAACACTAACAGTTCAGATCTTATAAAACTTTGTGTTATTTAGGGATGCAACTTCCTGTGATTGACACTTGAATTACTTTTTGATTGGAGATTCACAAGAGGACGCCTACATGTTGCCCTCCATGGATATCTATCTATTTGGCATTAATTTGTTGGCAGAAGGAAGCTATTTATGGTTTCATAGGTCCATAGGCTCATTTGAAAAAATTTGCAGCGTGAGTGAAGGGGATTCAGATAATGTGTTACTAGGCATTTCTCAGATCAGCTCTAAAGCATTGTACTTCCAGTATTTGCAGATGATATGGTTATTAATGAGTGATTAAGCTATGGCCATATTGCATGTTAATGATACTTAGATGTAGATTATACAAATACTTGAAAGATACCTGACCAGAGTCATATTTTCTCAAATTCAAGAATACCAGATTAGCCAGAGGTGACTGATCTAGAACTAATAGAAGGAACTGAACAAGTGATAATGAGTACCTGTTTGATCTGTGTACAGGTCCTCAATTGGAAGACTTCATTAACTTAGGATCACAAAAGTTTGACATTACATCAGCAATGAAAATGGTGAGTCAGTTTCCTCACTCACGACTCTTCTCCCATACAACAGCATAACATATATTAGACAATTATATCTACAAGATATATCAAACCCAGTAGACATTGATGCAAAACTGTGATGCCCCAGTTTTGGAAGGAATTAATATGATCAGGAAGCCCATGAGCTTTGTAAGTTGCTGGTTCAACTTGAGTCTATACCGCGGTATGGACAAGGCAGACTTCTGTAGAAACATGACAATAAGGATTCATTTTCAGTGAAATTCTTTGCTAGATCCCTCTGACCTTCAATTTCCGCTCTCTCCCCGTGTCGGTTCCCCATATGTCATTTCAAGTCCCTCTTATATCCCTCATCACGTCCCAATTCGAGGTGGATCATTCTCCAATCAGTAGACAAAGTGTTATCTTCTTGGAGCACATGTCCTTTCCCTAAGGGTAAGTTTCTGTGGATGTTTTGTACTGTCCATTAGTCATCTTTTGGGCCATTTGGCTCGGAAGGCACAAATGACTTTTTTGAAGGGAAATTATCCTCTAGCAAGAATGTGGGAGCTCAGATTAGAAACATAACAATTTCTTCGGCTCTTGCCAGGGAAGAGTTGTTCGGTTACACTACAATGAAACAAGCTAGAGAACGGGGCATGTAGCTTATAGTGTCTGCATCTTGGAAGCGCCTTCCAGTGCGCAGCCCGAAACTTAACTCTGAATGCAGCTCCTCAGGAAATTCAGGACCTTCAGCTGGTGAGGACGTGATTAGAGATCACTCTGGTACCCACTTTACATGACCTTCGGGTGTACATGATGCTAACAAAGGAAAGGTGACTGCCCTCCTTATTAGGGATGAAACTCTTCTTCCAGACCTTCAATGCTGTGCTCATTGTGAACGGTGAATCAATGAATGCTACCATGAGCCACTACGATGTGGCCATTTCGATGGCGTTCTGTAAACACACTGGAAGAGGTTAAAAGACCTTTGCAGCCAGCAAACACTACAGGGCAGTATATACCAAGGAAAATGAGCTGACAGACTCTCTGGCTTGACACATGAATAGGAGTAAGTGACCTCTTTGTGGCCTAAGCTCGCCCCCTACAGGATCCCTCTCTCTCCCCCTCTGCCTCTCCCTCCTTCCCTCCACCATGAGAATCCATGTGATACCAGTTCCCTTTGGGAGCAACTCGATCTAATTGGTTTCTAACCTCAATGTAAATGTTTATTTTCAATGACCACACACGCACACACAGACACACACACACTAGACTCCGTGTCATAGTCCGATTAATCATTGGCAACAGGTTCACAGATGGTTGCCTGTACGGATTTTGACAGGAGACGTTAGCCAAAAATCAGGAGACATACTACTAGATATTGTATATTGATAAGAACTTTGCTTATATCCTTGCATAGCAAAAATGATACAATCTCATACCAATAAAGAGGACTGATTTGGATCGGTTGTCATGATACTTGGTATGCTACCACCGGTTACTGCGACTTCATTTTGACCTGCATCATCCACCCACTAAACTAACATATAGATGCAGGGAGCTTGGTTTGGGGGATGGCGATCCTCCTCGGAATCTCACTCTGGAGCCAGAGAGAAGCTTACTTCCCTTGTCAAGGGAGCTTGATCCCTATCTTGTAAGGATCTCGATCCCTAACTAAAGGGATCTTGATTGCTTTGGAAGGGGACCACAACCTGATTGAAAATGGGGCGGCAGTCATCGTTTGGAGGGATCTCGATCCTAGAGGAAGTTTCAAATATTTTTGAATTTTGAAACGATGATCTTTCATTTTGTGTTGCTTTTCGACAATTTTGTAGCTAACAACTACCTGGAGATGTTTTTTGTCTTCCATTTTTATCATAGTGATTTGCATAAGTGGTCGAATACTGGTGAACTGCCTCGGAATGGCCTGACTCAGCTCAGACCTAGGGGAATCCCTGATCAGGATGGTCCTGAAGAGGGAATTTGCCAGGGTTGTTCAAAACAGAGTCCTCACTATATCAAATTGCCACGTCTCGTCCTAAGAAGCTAAGACATGACCCATAGCCTTGCAGAAGTCATCAAAAACTGTCGAAACAAACATGTGAAAATTTCAAATTATTATATATATACTTTTTAGTAGATAACCACAAATTGAATCTACCATCAAAGCTGAAATTTTTACTGGGCAATGACTTCTATTCTACTATCAACATAAAGGGTTAAGGCCATTCTGATTTCAAAATTAAGCCGAACACAGAAAACTTCGCAAAAATATGAAGAAAGAACTCGATTACTAAATTTGATAGGGATTACTTCATAAGCACTCACCAGTTCCAGAAAATACACTTCTGTGCAGTAAAAATCAAGAATATTGTACAAAGAAATGCAAGTTTAAAAAGAAAACTCTTTGAAATTGAAGGGAAAACAACTCAACAGTAAATTTCAATAGTATATAGACTACAAAGAGCAGCTGTTGGCACTACCTTTGGTACAGCAGCCTGAAATATAAAATGTGTGTATTCATTAGATGACAGATTTGTAAAAGTAGCTTGAACATGCGTCACTTGCGGCTGTCCAGGTTGCTTTGAAAAGCTGAACATTATCTTCAAGGAGCTGCTCTGGAATCCAACAATAGATGGATACTCTGGAACATTCTCTTCTGCAAAAAGTGGGCAAGAAACATTACCTAGACATTTGACTATATAGCCTAAGCCAATATGTCAAAAGGTGCAAATAGATAATCTTCTGCAAAAAGGTAAGGGGGACTTCCTTACCAGCCATTGATGAATTTGAACCCAAGTCACCTAACAAATCAATAACTGGAGGAGCATTTGAAGTAGGTTTTGTATCTTGAATTGTCGCTTTCACTGATCCTGAAGTATTAGATAATTTTGGGGAAGCAACACCCAAGGGTGATAGTTGTGGCAAAATTTTAACTTGAGGACTGGATGGTAGCTTTGGGGATGAATTATTTTGTACAGGAGGTGTTCCAATTGACAACAGATCCAACAAGACATCTGTGCCAGTTGTTGTGGGTTGGCTCATACCTTGATACCAAGAAAATAACATCAAAAGCATGCAATGTGAAGTGTAACATGAAAATATTCCATCAACAAATTTGTGTCTGAGTATCAATGTTTTAAAACAGAGACATGCAGCTCAGACTCTTAGGGTCCCGAGCCCAAGAAATCCACCAACTCAGCAGAATCAGTCATCCAACTTGGCCAAGCTATCGACAAAAACAAAACGGGGAGATTGGTCAGACTCGCCCAAATCTTGGTATTTTCATCCATACAAGGCAACCTGCGGGAATGGAGGGACTCAAGCGAGTCCAAGACCAACTCACCGGCTTTTTAAACAATGATATATATATATATATATATATATATATATATATATATATCAAAGAAGAAACAGATGAAAATATTAAAACACATTCTCCAAGGCTAACTGACGACGCAAGTATCATGTATAGAGGGCCAGCATCAAACATTCCATATATGTATTTAGTATTCAGAAAATTGTGTATATATTAGAAATTAATTGAACATTCTAGAAATGCAGACATATTACAAAACCAAAATGAAAAAATAGTCACTAGGATCCCATGAGAAAACCTTTAAATAACATTTTCCCTAATAAATTCAAAGTCAATTATACTTGTATATTTAAAGAGATAAGCATAGGTTTACGAAGTGATAAATACAACCGTTGAGGTGGACAGACAAGCTTAAGCAATGAAAGGCAAAAGAATTTCCTGCACATAATAGTCAAAATGTGTGCACATTCCTAGCCCTAGTAAGTAAGAATCTAATTTCAGTGAAGGACCGAGAACACCCACATCATCAATACAACATAGTAGTTGTTATGCTCAGTAAAATAAGACTGAAATTGCCTAATCCTTTTATGCAAATGAAAATCACAACACTCAAATGCGACTGGAGATAAACTACCTTGTATGGGTGAATTCTGCATTAAATCCACACCAAGAAGATCATGAAGGAAGTCCCCGGTGGAAGCACTGGGAGTTGGCGCATTATCTGAACTTAAATCAAGCAGATCCACAAGAGGAGCTGCAGCGGGTTTGCTAACTCCATTTGGAAGATTAAGAGGTATTCCTGATGAGGATTTTCTATTAGATTTCTCAGATGAGAGTGTGGCAGCAGATGACACTGCTCTCTTCCCAACGAAAGCTGCCTCGTCCAGAACTGGCATCCTTTCAACTAATGTAGATCTGGAAACGCACAAGTAGCAATCACAAAAACCAGCAGCATGAGTTTAGCAATTTTAGATATATTTACCAGGATAAAATTCAACACAATGAAAGTCAAACTAAAATGAAACGCCCACTTGATATTCTCGTGCTTGTGAATCACAGAACTGAACTCAATTGATCGTTGCTGCAACTCCAGCACAAGGCTCCCTTTTTGCTGAATAATGATATCTTTGATCCTCCTGAAACAATATATGACATGAATGACATTCACACAGCATCCAAAAGGACTAGGATACAACAAGGAGCAGTCCAGAACCCACAAAGTAATTAAGCAGTATTGCATTTGGAGGAAAACTAGGAAGAACCTTATTTAAATATCAATAAAACCCTAGAAAAGTCTCGAGGCTGCTCGTAATGTAGGAAAACAGTATCATTCATTTTTTTTTTTTTTTTTTTTTTTTTTAAACTTAGCATCATTCCTATCATTACAACTCAATTGCTCATTTTAATAACTTTTATGAGCAAATTTTCACTTTCATTCTCTGTGAAGAGAAATACTTGCAAAATAATCTCCATGTGTGAGAAAAACAACATCTACGAAGAGCATGAGTTGCCACACAACAAGAGGAAACATGTCTCTATATAGTTACTCATACCCATTAATATATCAGAATCACCAATTAAAAATCGTGGCTAGGCAGAGAGTGGTGCTACTGAGAAAGAAAAATAGTTAGAAAAAGATTATTGTAAAAAAGGTACCTAATATAGTAAAAAACAAAATGCCACATGTTGGTGACAAGAAAGGTGATGACATTTAACAGATATGAATAACATGGCCCTACATTTTACTCATACATAAAAGATCAAATATTAATAATCTGTTGGTCGACCACTGAAGTCATGAATGGTAAGTCACCCCTGCATTGCTTGCATTTTCCCTACTACACTGGTAAAGTGTCTAAACCCATCTACAGGCTAAACAGTGGTAGGACAAGAAAAAACAAAAATATATTTACTACGAACATGTCTTAACTATTCAGTATAACATATCACTTTAGAAAGCTGTGCAAGATTTGAGAAAGTGCAGCAATCTCTTGCATTCTGATTGATAAATTTGCTAGAAAACCAAGCAGTAATACAAAATATATTTCAACAATATCAAGCCCCATTACCAGCTTTTCAGAGCATGTGGTTTATTAAATTAAAATAAAAAAATTTTGACAGCAGGTTTCCCAGTGACACTTCTACCTCTGCAACTTGTGCCAGCATGCAATGTCCTTCTGCCCCCCTTTCTACACCTAAACCCACCCTCTTGTTCTGCACACAACATCTTCTAAATACCTGCAATTTGGTAATATCTCGTCCAATCAATGTGCCTTATCACTAGAAGGCCCATGACCTGCCCCAAACATCCATCATTGACCCATGCTATTAATATTCCGCACAATGTTTCAAAAAATGGTCCTCCCGCCCAGAAAAAAATTTCCGCACGCCTCAACCTGGGTGCCCCTACACAGGCGGCTGTACCTGGGCGGGCGCCTAGGCGGGCGCCCAATGCCCAGTTCTGGGAGGGCACCCAGGGCAGTTGGCGTTTTTTTATATTTCACTTCGCCCAAAATGGCAAAGGGGGTCATATTGACCCCCAAGTTTGTATAAAAGAAGTTTTGGGGTTTATTTTTTAACTCCAAAGTAAAAAAAAACAAGAAACCCTCAATCTTAAACTTATTTTTGAGAATCTAAAGTAATTTTTGAGAATCGAAAGTACTTTTTGTGGATTGAAAAAGTTTGTTTTTTCTCATTGAAATTATTTTTGGGTGCTATTGGTGGTATTAGAAGACTTTTGAGTTGATTCGTAGCTCGATTGAGGTAACCAACATCGAAGATCAGAGATTGGGTAGAAAATGTCAATCTGTAACCTTTATTTGAGTTTTATTTTTCCAATTTGAGATGTCTTCCACAGAGTTTACTAGGAGTGGAGATCTGAGATGGGCATATTGTGTTAACCCTGATAAAAATGACAAAAATAAAATTATGTGCAATTTCTGTGGACATGTTTCAAATGCCGTCATAAATAGATTTAAGAAACATCTTGCCGGTATTAGAGGTGATGTTGCCCCATGTAAGAAAGTCCCAGATCTTGTAAAGAAATTTTTTTTGGAATACATTAAAGTTAAAAAGGGTAAAAAAATTGCATAAAAAAAAAGGATATAGCAGAATTAAAGTCAAGGGTCCACATTTTTTATGATAATATTGACACGGAAGAAGAAGATGAAGATGGGGAAGAAGAGGTAGCCAAGGTTGGTACTCAGAGCTCTAAGACCAAGAGGGCTTTTTAGTCTAAGAAGGCTCATACGATTTTTTTACACTTAGCGTGGAAACCGTAATTGAGAGAGACAAGGGAGGAAAGGGGAAAAAACTAGTGACAATTGAAAATAGGTTTAAGAAGGAAGTTAGAGCCAGGGTGATCAGTATATTGCTCGGTGGTTTTACCATGCGGGCATTTCTTTTAGCACTGCTCGCTTGAATAGCTTCCATACAATGTTGGAAGCAATTGAGCAATTTGAGCCAGGTTTGAAAGCTCCAACTCCTTATGAGATTGGAGAGCCACTATTGAAGAACGAAATCGAGTACACTAACGAATATCTCAAGACTCATAAGGAGGGATGTGCTAAATTTGCGGCTTCTTTAATGACAGATATGTGGAGTGATAGAAGGAGGAGAAGTAACAAGAATTTGTTGGTAAATTGTCCCACAGGTACAGTTTTTTTGTGCTCAATTGATGCTTCCAATGATGTTCATGATGCACATTATATATTTTCTTTCATTGATAAGGGCATTGAGGAGGTTGGGGAGGAACTTGTAATTCAAGTGGTCACAGATAATGATGCTCCCAATCTAGCTGCAGGTCATTTGCTTCGACAGAAGAGGCCTAGCATATTTTGGACTCCTTGCGCTGCACATTGCATAGATCTTATGCTTGAGGCAATTGGTGAATTGCCTGCTATTAAAGGAATTATTTTTAAGGCTAAGGAGGTTACAATCTTCATATATAGTCACATACTTGCCCTTAGCATGATGCGCAAGTTTACAAAAAAAAGAGAGCTAGTGAGGCCTGGGGTCACTAGATTTGCCACTGCTTACCTTACTCTACAGAGCACGTATAAGAGGAGGATCCAATTAAGGTCCATGTTTGTTGTTGAGGAGTGGAGTAGGTGTAAGTGGTCTAGAGATACCAAGGGAAAGAAGGCACGAAATATTGTTCTTTCGAAATATTTTTGGCGTGGGGTGAAGAATGCGATATTAGTATTTCTTCCCTTGGTGAAGGTCTTGTGCTTGGTTGATGTTGATAAGCCCTCCATGGGCTTTATATATGATGCAATGGAAAGGGCTAAGAATGAGATTGCAGAGAATTTGGGCAATGATGCAGCGAAGTATGCCCCAATTTGGGATATTATAGATGACAAATGGGATAGGCAGCTCCATAGACCATTGCATGCAGTGGGGAACTACTTGAACTCCAAATTCTTTTATGCAGATGCAGATATTGAGTCAAAAGGGATAATTATGGATGGTTTTAATGAGTGCCTTGATAAATTAATTCATGATCCACATATCCAAGATAAGATATCAATTGAAGAGAATTTCGTACTAGTGTTCTTTGATGTCATTTGGGAAAGATATGGCATTAAGATAGAGAAACAAAGACGAACCAGGTAGTATTCTTTTGACTCATAATTTTCTTTTAAGTTCAGATAGTGTTAAATACCTAAATTAATTATAAAGGTTGCCCACATATTGCAGCCTAATGGTGGAAACAACATGGGAGTAGCGCTCCAAACCTCCAGAAGATGGCTATACGGTTCTTGAGTTCGACAACTATCTCTTCTGGTTGTGAGCGCAATTGGAGTTCATTTGAGATGGTATTTTACTATTTTACAATTTTGTATGATTTTTTTGTTTATAAGTTCATTTTGTAATATAGATTCATAAAAGGTAAGAAGATCATAGACTCATAGTAGTTACTTATACATTATTTTTCCTTATATGTGCATACAAAGAGAAGAAATAGGCTTGAGCAAAAGAAGTTCAATGACTTGGTTTTGTTAGAGAGAATCAAAAGCTCAAGGAGAAGAAAACCAGCCAAAGAAGGACCCTATCTCTTCGAAAGACATGGAGAATGCTTCAGATTAGCTAGTTAGTGACCCTGACACTAAGGAGGTCTTCCCTGGCATGGGAAATGGTCGAGGAGGCTTCGGGGAAAGCTTCTGATCCTAGGAGGACCACTCGAGCAACTTCTTTTGCTGGTACTTCACAGAGGGAGATAGAGGAAGAGGAGGAAGATTCAGAAGAGTCTTTGGAAGAAGAGGAATATATTGAAGAGTGTGAAGATTCTGATGATGACGGCTTCAATTCTGATGCAGATGAAATCAATGAAGATGATGATTCTGATTCTTATTGATGTCTTGATTGTCTTCTCTCTTCTTTTTGTAGTAACTTTATTGCACCATCTTGGTTTGGGCTTTAGACATTTGAACGATTTTTATTTAGTTATGTGGTTTGTAATTTTTTTGCCTTTTTGGATTATTTCGTTGTGTGGCTTATTGGTTTTTTATAGTTTTGAAAGTCAGTTTGTGGAAGACTTGGAGAGTTGGAGACTTGAATGTTATTATAGTTTATTTTATGGATATGGAATATGGAGAATATGAGAGTTGGAGACCTTACAACAGCCTTTTAGACTTTTAAATGTTTTGTATGGTTTGAAATTTTGAATAATTTTATTCTCAACCTGATTACCTGAGAGGCCGAGACATGTGATATGCTTGTATATAAAAACATATGTTGCAAACTTGCGATATTTTCAAATGGAATAAATTACAAAATTTGACACATATATGCATATATGCGCATTTGGATAACAAATATATAAAAAAAAACTAAGAATTTGCACCACAGGGCGCCCTGAGGTTCTGGACACCTGCCAAGCATTTTTTGAAACCTTGATTCTGCATGTTCCCTATCCCATACTCATTCACAATTGTCACCACAGATCGCCTTTGGTTAATGTTCAGCCTTTTCTCACTATACACTAATTTCGAGTACTCCAGTCCTTCCCTACAAGTTCCTTTCAACCACCCTCATGATGCTTAGTTATGTGTTTCAGCTCTCTTTTCATAGGCAATTTGCTTGCCTGTTGTTCATGTCTAAACCTGTGCTCGATCCTAACTTAGCATGAAACTGCTGTTACCTTTGGGCTCCTCTGACAAAAGACTTGTATAGAAAAGAGAATCATATCAAGTCTTTATTTTCTCTTTTTGCTTCAATGGAAGAGGCCACTGAGTCCAGTGCCAAGCATCAAATGCATCACTGAAGGTAACCATGTCAAGCATGTATTCGTTATTCAGATACATAACCAAAGACGATTAAACCAGAACGGCAGAACATAACTTAGGCTTGGGTCGAAGGTTTTCTTCATTTTATAGGATACATCTATTGACACCATATCTTCAAAATAATTAGGTTAACAGTAAGATGGCTCCTATGACATAGCTTGCAGCAAGCATTGTACCAAAATTTTTCAAGCAATCAATAATTTTATTGCAGTTATGGCTATCTCATTTTATATTAAGGCACTCCCTATTGTTTATCACCTTTATTTATTTATATATTTCTTTATTTATTTGCCCTTTTTTTGGTATGCATGTGTGCATGGATTTTGATGAAATGAGATCTTTTTAGACAATACTCTAAAGCTAGATTAGAGTTTAGAGATCTGAATCCTAGAAGATAACGATACCCAATTGTATTCTTTTATCATGATCAACGGTATCTGTATGGATCACATTTGGCTTCTCACGCATCAATGTTTATGCAGTCATTCAGGGAGCGTGCAAAACTGTAATCACATTATTTGTGCTACTAGAGATCACTTTGGGTTTACCCAAACTTGTTTCTGAGTCTGACAATTGACATATAGCAGAGCGAAACCCAAAAACCCCATTCAGAATAAAAGCAATAGTCTCTAGAACCAAGTCTCTGCTAAATTGCAGGTCTGAATAACATCATTATGTAGCAGAACTCTGAAGCAAAATCTTTGCTGATCTGGAGCCATGCCTCAGCATTGTACAAAAACCTTATGGCACTTCTTCCTGACATCAAGATGGCTTCATCATACACCAAGATTGCCCTTAAAAAACATCTGATAAAAAACCTATAGTCTGAAACCTCAACAAATGGTTGAATATGTTCAAATCTACTTTGCACGGGCTAATCATAGTACAGTATCATGAAAGCGTACTACCAACGTATCCACCTTTATATGAAGAATCTCAAGTACTGGATGCACTTATTAAGCAAGAGAAAGAATTGTGTGCTAGAATTCAACATGTCCAGATCTCAAACACCAATATTCCGAGAGATGCAAGAAAGTTTTTGGTTGCTGAAGCTTATTTGGTTATATATTCAGTAGGTTCATTTTTCCTCTTCACAGTTTCAGAACCTTTGGAGTCGAAAACATTTTGCCAGGGAGATGGACTTTTAACTTGTCCTAAGTTGGGCTAGAATTCGTTTCTTTATGTATTTTTTAACGATCAAGGAATTCATGCATGTATAAAATACTAGTATTCCTCATGCTTCAGGAACCATGGTGCCGCATTCCAAACCTCTTTACCATAATATTTTTAGACCACAATCTTCTGTAAAAAAACAAAATATCTTGCCTGAATCTTTTTTCTGTGAATAACCAAAAAGAATCTAATTATTTCCAAAGGGTCCCAGTCCCTCTCTCATGGGCATTGCAGTCATATCAGAAATAGGGGAAGTCTTATATATTTAAAAATAGCTAAACTACATATTTTAAAAATATTTGGGAGGTTTTGGCCATTCATAGACTACGAACTTTTTTAAAAAACACTTTATGGTTATCCTGATCGGCAGTTGAAAGTGAAGGGAAAGTCAGACAGACAAATAGATTAGAGGGATTCTTTTCTTGTTTTGAGTGTGTATGCAAGCATGCGAACAAGAAAAAGTCAAGGGAGAGAGTATCAGATAGACTATTGTGCACACATTCAGGCATATGAGAGAACTAATACTACAAATTAATAAATATAGATCATACTCTAAAGACAATTGCAAGCATGCCTTAGAGCAAAACGCAATGGTATCCTTACATCTTCAATGATTCACATGTTAAACCTGAAGAAATAAAGAAATTAATAGATGAGGTATCACTTTATATGAAAAGAAAAAAGAGCCTGGGTAGCGTCATTTTAAAATACAAAGTTGGTGGGTGTGTGCGTGTGCATGTGTGTGTGTGTGAGTGGAGAGAGAGAGAGAGAGAGAGTTGGTAAGTGTTAGTGCACCTCGAGAAAATAATAAATGCACAACAGAGAATTTGGTTAGAGACAGAGAGAGTTGGTAAATGCACCTAGAGAAAATAAAGATGACAACAGAGAATTTGGTTAGACAGAGAGAGAGAGTTGGTAAGTGCTAGTGCACCTAGAGAAAATAAAAGATGAAAGATGCATAACAGAGAATTTGGTTATCCTGATTGCCTTAGGAATGCAGTCCTTCAGGAACTAACCGAAGTAATGGGGATATTTCAGGTGGACAGAAGTATTTAAGGGTCTGTCGAAAGCCACAAAAAGGAAATAGAAATAAAAAAAGGCAGAGTCGACACTGTAACAATACTTAAGAGCCAGATAAATTCCCAATGCCAATAAACTATACTTAAGAGAGTAACCAGGTAGTGCACCATGTAACCTCCCAATGTTAGCAACTGGTTGAGCAATATCTACATTTTCTAAATAATGATGATTAGGGAAAAAAATCTGACACAAAAATGCTCAAGAACCCAATATGAACAAATTTAATCAGAGCACTGCCGTGATATTGATAAGCCTTGTTCTAAGCAACAATCCGATCCACATCCGAAAATAATGTCTGGCCAATAAAGCATACTGGTCATAAAAAAGATAAAACTAAACTCGATGACCAACAAAAATTCCAGTTAAAACTATGCAGAGTGCTCCAGAGTCGTATGATTAGATGCTTTTTGTTATACTTACTTCGAACAAGGTGGGAACCGAGACGAAAGCTTTAGAAGGGCAACTAAAGCCATTGCTCGAGTAGTGATATCGAATGAGGGTCTCTTCAGAGCTGCCTCCAAGACATCCACTGCATCAGACTCTGTCACCTGCGAAACAAAAGTGGTCATGCAGTCAGGCCAAAAGGAGAACCTGTTTAATATGTGCTATAAATACACAAAATACAACAATATATAAAACTCATCATCACAGCTACATGTACAAGAACTGAATGATCATATCTAACATGAATGATAGTATCATTATAAGAACAAATTTATAGACCTCTAAAACTCAGCTGATAAATTTCGTGGCAGTAACCATAGTGGAAAAGTTTTCGTGAAAAAATTGAAAAGGAAGCCTTAGTTAAATGAACAAAAATATTAGCAAAACGATAAACGAAAAAAAGACTATAAAACAAACTTGATGGGGCAGTCTTGCTAAGGAAAACATCCTACCCACAACTTTCTACAATTACAAAGTTTAAGAAAATGAAAAGGAAGCCTTAGTTAAATGAACAAAAATATTAGCAAAATGATAAACGAGAAAAGACTATAAAACAAACTTAAATGGGCAGTCTTGCTCAGGAAAACATCATACCCACAGCTTTCTACAGTTACAACATCAGATATGTGCATCTTTATCACCATTGTTGATAGAAATGCAGCAACAGTCAAAAAAACAATAATGAGTTATATCAGTAACAAAAATGTCCTCACAACAATAAGAAGAGTAAATCCAGAATTCTTTTTTTTGAAATGGAGACAGTATATTACTAGATAAGATAGAGTAAAAAAGGTTCTCATGAGAAGTGAGAGAAAGGAAGCCCATAAACTGGGTAAACGGGAGGACAGATTGAGTATTTAGGGTCAAAGAGAGAAGTCGGTGGAGATATTGAGAGAGGGAGAGAGAGAGTAATATGGAAAGGTTTACCGTAGGAGAAAGAAAGCCGGGTGCTCTATACCAAAATATACAAGTTTAAGAGAAGGCACTATAGGAGGGATGTGATTATCAAAGAAGAATGGTGGCCACCTACAAGTCGTGCACTTAGTCAATGATGAAAGGTAGAGAAGGAAGCCCACAGACCGGGCGCTCAAAGCTATACAGTAGTTCTGTCCAGGAGCCCCAACTTTGGAGGGTGTACCGGCAAAAAAGAACAGGAAGGAGGAAACTGCATGTAAAAAAAGAGCTGGAGGAAGAAAGTAGTAAGACAGTGGGGGAAGAATAGAGTACAAGAAGGTGAGAAAACCAAAATCAGTCAAAGTTCAAACACAAAGTCATGAGGTCAGTCCCTGAGATGGAGGTCCCCTTGGCTAAATCATCAGCCTCAGCATTAACCTCCAGCCCAGTATGATGGAAGCAAATGCGAATGCAACTTCACAAATGAAAAACATGATCAAACATATGAGCACGAGCAACTGACACTGGCTTTTGTTGTTGGCCCAAATAATGATATTGGCATTATCCCCTTCTGCAATTAGCGCATCCCCCCAGCAGGGGTGAAACCTAGAGAGACCTTCAAGCAAAGTGTTGGCCCCAGCCCAGGTGGAGTCACAGGTGACAAGAAAGCCGTTGAAGGACAAAGCATAGTACCAACATAATCACAGAAAATTCCACCATATACACATGGTCGAGGATTACCCAACGAGTAACCATCTAAGTTTAACTCAATGTTTCCCTGATTGGGAGGACAATAATAGGAAGAGCGAGAGGGCTTAACGGGTTTAAACTTGATTATATCTCACCAGTGAGAGATGAAGTCCCCCTTGTTTTTTATAATGTTAACTGTAGTATAAATAGAAGTGAGTACATCATGCAAAGAGAAAACCCACAGACCGGGCTTCTTGCCAAAAAATAGACTTACCGAGATGGTAGTCCTATACAAAAAATGGGCTAGTTGGGGTAACAAAACCCGTACATCAGAAAAAGGAAAAACCATATACAAAAAACATAATCACGCTGGGTCACAAAAGGTTAGAATGCGCTTCATCTTTAGCCAGCTGATCCACTAGGGCGTTGGACTCCCTCTAGATATGCCTCCAAGAGACGGCTATATCCCTGCAAATGTGAGTAATCTCATCAAATATCGTTGCGAGGTACCAGGGGCAAGGTGATGACCTGAGGCCCAAGTAATGATGTTTTGAGCATCTCCTTAGATGATCAGGGGTTGACCAAGAGGGGTCAAAAAGCCTAAGTCGGAGAGGAATGTCATAGACTCAGCTAGCTGTGAGTCCGCGCAACCGTTCTTTTTGGAGAATGAAATGAGAATGTTCCCGAGGTGGTCTTGGATGGCTCCACACACCCCTACCGGGCCTGAGTTTTCAAGAGAACACCCGTCGAAGTTTAATTTGGTCTGGGCCTTTAGGAAGGGGGGGGGGGGGGGGGGTCCAAACACTGGACCGAGAGCGGTGGGGGGAGCGGTTGCTGATTAGATTTTCCATTGGTGCCGAAAGGTAGTGGACGAGGTTCCTTTAAAATATTTGTGGTTTATGGCCCAAAAAATGAAAGACGACCGAAACCTCACTTTTGATTTCATAGAAAATTCTGAAGTTTATCTCGGTCCAGATGACCAAGATCGTGGCTGCTATGGATTCCACAAGGTCCTGCCGGCTTTGGGCCATGTAGTGTCGAGAGAAAGATTGTAAACGGCTGGGATGGAGGGAGGGGTAACTCAATAAAATCCGAAGAGTTGGAGCATTAAACCCCACAAGTTATGAGCAAGTTGGTAGTGGATAAAAAGATGGGAGTTGCTCTCTTCATCCATGAAGCACATCGCACAGTGATTGGGGATAGGAACCCCCCTACGTTGGAGGTGGTCCACGATGAGGGCTTTTGCGAGACAACAACCAAGTCAGGGCTTGAACTCTTAAGGGGGGGGGGGATACAGGACCACACGTGAGCTATGATGTATCTAGGGGAGAGGTAGGCGGCAACAACAGTTTCTTGCAAAAAGAGGGGATCGAAAAACTGCCTGAAGGTGAAGGGGACCAAATGCTTTGGTTAGTGCCAAAGGAAGCCAAGTGTAACAAAGAAGACAAGGTAAAAAATTTATAGTTTTCAAGGTCAAAGAGAGGTCGCCTGAAGGACGGACTCCAGACTCTGAGAGAACCGAGAGTGGCATCTCATCCGCGACAGAGAAAGCTTGCTAAAGACCATGGAAAAAAGAGCAGGGAAGAGGTCCCTAAGAGGGGTGTGGCCTAACCATAGGTCAGACTAGAAGAGAATACGATTTCCTACCCAAGAGAGGCAACAGATGTTATTATGGAAGAGGGCTAAGGAGGACAAAAAACACTTCCAAGCTCAGGAAGGTTTGCTTTGTGGGCTAACAGCAGGTAGCCAAACGTTGGCAGGAATGCGATATTTGCACCGGATGACTTGGGTCCAGAGGAGGTTATTTTGAGTTGCTATGTGCCACCACCACTTACCGAGCAAGGCCGTGTTGTGTTTCCTTAGGCGGCGGATACCGAGACCATCGAGATGTTTGAGTTGGCATACTTTGTCCCATGCGATGAGATGGTATTTTTTTAGTACTAGTGTCTCCTACCCACAGAACGTCCCTCATAAGTTGTTCAATGCGATAGGCCACCGCAGCTGGCAAGTGGAAAAGAGACATGAGGTAGACGAGAGTGTTGGCTAGCATCGCCTTGATGAGGGTGGTTCTTCCTGCAAAGGAAAGAAAACATCTTTTCCAGCCTCCCAGGCGGCGGTCAACTTTGTCGATAATATGGAACCACAACCTCTTTTTGGGATTGTCCTGTACAAAACTATATGCCTCCCTGTACAACTATTTCGATGGAAGAATTCACTTGAGTATATCTTGCTAAGTATCTGTTCGCAGAACACAATATGATTCCCTCTTTCACAAGAGCATCAACAAACTCATTTGCCTCCCTCAACGACTGGAGAAATGAGACTTCTAAGTTACTAGTTAGTTCAAAATGTTCTCTAAACACATGTTGCAGCCTCCATGGTGTCTCTTTCACCCAAGCAAGGACATTAACAAAATCCCCTTCGTGTGGTAGGCCACAACACACTCCATAATAAGTGTAAGACAAAGGGGCATATACTCCAAAGGCTGCCAAGAAATGGCTATAAATGCAATAATAAAGTAAAAACAAAAGAAGAATAAGGTGCATGAATGCCAACCAACCGATCTCCCATCCCTTGTGCAAATGAAGACAAGAAACAACAGACAAGACACACCAATAGGACAAAGCCATTTCAGAGAGAAAACATGACATAGCCTCACATGCACTAAAGCAGATAAAGGCAACTCAAAAAAAAGAAAACCAAGAAACATCCATATATTTAAAGTTATGGTCTTAACAAACTGCATAACCGAATTACGGCTTATAACCTAGTTGCCAAAGAGTCTAAATGACAGAATCAGGGGAGTACCAAACTAATCTTGTTTGAACCAAAAAACAAAAAAAGGAAGAGAAAGAAAGATATGCAACAATAAACTTACAGTCAAGGGCTCCTCTCCATCAAGCTCGCCAATATTATTGACAAGTAAGTCACCATATTCACCAATGCACCACACAGCTACCCGAACAAGAGTTTCCTGTCAAATGGTGTATCCGATCCTTCTCAAAACTAAGAAAATAGCAGAAGCCATTGTCATAAATTGAAGGTAGTGCATGAATTACCTGATTAGATGAAGTTTGAAATGCTTTATAGAGGGAACGAACAGTATATCCTTGGAGGTCAGTCGCATTGCTTATCACTACAATAAGAGCATGCCACACTTCATCCTTAACAAAATTTCCGGCCTGTTGAAATTGGAAAAGAAATAAGATTTGAACTCGTAAAATCACGCAAGTTCAGCACACGCAATTCTTCATCATGACATAAAACAAACAACAAAATGAGGTGTAGCAACTTATAAAAAAAACCAAGTTGATAACAAAACAAAAGTAAATCAAATGGATCAAGAACAAGCAAAGACACATATCAATGCCAAGGCATATCGTTGGAAAGGTGCTTCAAGCATATGCGTGAATATACTATGTATGAAGTGTTGGGTATTTGTGGCCTTTAAAGGCCTAGAGAGCTTGTAAAAATGATATCTATAGTAGAATATGCACTTCAATGGGTGCGTATTGACTAACCATGGGTTGCGCCATTTATGGCCCTAGTCATGTCTAAAACCCTTGGCGCTAGACATGTAGCACTTAGCCGAGAAGGGTTTGAAGTGGATCATCCCTTGTTGAGGTTGGAGAGATGCACTGGGATCATGTTTGTAAGCCAGGAGAACTGTGTGGTCTCCTGTGTGTTGTTGTAGCCTGTAATAGCAATGGCCAAATCCTCAACAAACTTCCGCACGACATGTACACATGACAGCCACATGGGAAGCAACCATTTCTAGAGGAACATGTGTACATGTGTATTGAGAGAGCCCCCTTTGCACTTCGGTGAAAAGGGTTTGACTTGCTCTTAAAGGGGGCAACTGAAATCTACATTCCATGATCATGATGCCACTGTTTATTTTCCAACTTTGACAAGCCAATCGTGAGCCCCTGCAAAGAGATTGTGGGTCATGGGACTTTTTTGAGTTGGATAAGAGAGCAGTAGCAGATCATGGTTTCTAGGACTAGTGGAGTGCCGTTATTGTCGCTTATTTTGACCAAATGGTATCAGTCCACTCCTAGTATATTTTATTATGATTTTTTGTTTTTTAAATATTTTTTCAAAATTTTAAAATATTATTTCTCCTATAAATTTTTATAAAAGGGTATTTATGAAAATTTTAAAACTTTAAACCACATGTGGGACCACGTGGCACCCTAGGGACCACGCGATGCCCAAATTTCTTGCAATTATATCACTGGGTATTCTTAAAATCCTTCTTTTACTCAAGCTCATTGTTCCCCTATTGATTCTCATTAGTTTTGTTGTTATACTTTCTCTTGCCTTTCTTCTTCTTGAATGAACCAGAGTTGGGTTTAAGGTTTACCATATTTACGGAGTCATTCAAGGCCGAAGTATTGCGAGACAAATCTCCTTTCTTCTTTGGCTTTAAGTTTAGTGATGATCTCATCCAACTTCGGTATGCTTTCCCTTGTCGTAAGGCCTGAAATGAAGTTTTCCCATGAGCCAGGCATAAAATTCAACAACTGACAGATCTGCATATTTTCATCTGGCTTGACTTGTGCAGCCTCAAGTTCAAGAACTAAGGCTTTGAACTGCTGTATATGCTCGGTTAACTTGTGTATATGCTCGGTTAACTTGCCTCCTTTCATCGTCAAATCTGAATATTGCTTCATAGCCATTGTCTTTCTTGTGAAGGAAGGTGAGGCATAATCAGTCTCAAGTTGTTTATGAATCTCCATGGCAGTCTTGAGGTGCTTATACTCGAGAGCATGGAGTCATCCATGGCCATACGTTTTGTTGGAGTGTTTTTGTGCTCCCACTGAGCATGAGCTTCTCTTATGGCTTGCCTCTCATAAGCATTAAATCTTGGGATGGGTGGGGGTTCATCAATAAACATTTGGCTAAGTCCTTGTTCAAAGAGGACAGCCTATTTTTCTCTTCCAACTAATATAGTTTTTCCCATCAAAATTTTCAGTCTTCATAAATTCAGCTTAGAAACCTTTTGAAGTCATGTTTCTTAGACCAAATAAAAATAGAACTCCTAAAATATGGCAGTAAAAATATAGTAGCTTTGATACCAATGAAAGGCTCCACACCTCAAATTCATGCAAAATAACGCAAAATAAGGAGATCCCACACTAGTGGTTCAGTCTTGACTCGCATAATTCATAAATAAGTAACTTGAAATGGAGGCCAGCAGGTGAATCATGGAACGTGCTCCTGCAAGCACCTCTACCCACATAATCTCAGATTAGAATAAAACCTGACTCCTTGGTAAGATACTCACCAAAAGGAGGGCCTACCAGGCTCCTGGAAGCCCCACATCATCTGTTTCACCTATACTCTCACAGACAGAGTAATCCTTCCACAAAGGCTCATCATACCTTATCCAGTCCCCATCATCCTAGAAGAGCCATTTAACCACTCTGATGAATCCCATATGCAATCCCCTAAAATCTTGCAGTTCTCACTCACTTGAACAGATGTAACTTCTGACTGTTGTTACTACATTGTTATGTAGACTACCTATATATCCATTATAGCATTTCAGAAACAGTTGTCAAAACATTAGAAGAAATGTGGTTATCAAGAAAAAAGTAAAAGGAGAAGAAACATGTAATAAACAAGGATAAAGCGCAATGGAAAGCCAACCTTCGGCCATGCAACCTACCCTTCTAGAAAGAGAAAGCTACTCTCACAGAGGGTAAAACACCATATGAATATATTCCATGTCTACCTAGCTAAATCAGCAGTCCTGAGAACCTGGTAGGAAGCTTTCCAACTTGCAGCCCAAATTAAATATAAATTCCTCCAATATCAGGTTCTAGATGCCAACTCCATGACTGCTCCCTCGTCAAATTTCTTGGTTGACCATCACAATCTCGAAGCATGCCAAGAAATGCATAAGATTGTCGATCTAAGATTCATTGCAATGGAAGTCAATATATTATACATTAATCGCCACATTTCAAGTTAGCTCCACAGTAGAACAAGGTGGAATCTGTCTATTACAAATGAAAAAATACCATTCTTCCTGAACCAATCCCCAAACATTCTATGCAACCAGGAAAACCACTAAATCATCACCCTGATTAATATTTCTTCAAAAGCAGTGAAGAGGAATGGAGACAGAGGATTGCCTGTCTAATCCCCTTCAAACTTCCTAGTCTAGCATGCTGCCCAAACGTATTTCAATGGGCTCTATCGAGAGAAGAAACTAGATCACTGTGGTACAACACTTCTATCATGATATTAAAGAGGATGAAAAAAGTGGATCTCCTTGTCTAACCCCACGTACTTCCAAGTAAGCTCTTTTAAGGACCTGTTACCAATGAAAGCAAATCATGAAGTCGAGACGCAAGCATTTAGGCATTTTCTCCACCAATCCATGAAAGCCATATGAACCTAAAATTCTCATATATCCAAATCCACAGAATAACACTAAAATCAACCTTAAAACACCAAAGGGCCCTCCCTCCTCTGCTTTAGAGTCAATGCACTTAATTGCCACCAAAAGCAGTACCCAAGATCGGTCACCCACTGATAAAGGCCCCATGGAATGGGAAGATGAAGATTAAAAGACACCTTGCAACCTGGTGATCAAGGCCTTGTTAAGGATTTTTCACATGCACCTTACCAAGCTAAAAAACCTGAAGTCTTTCTTCATATCCTCAGGTCCTTCAGTCATTGCAATCAAAGTTATCATCGCTGTATCCAGTACTCTGTACAGCATGTGCACCTTTTCAAGTTAGCTCCACAGTACCTACCCTTTTCAAGTTAGCTCCACAGCACCTTTTCACGTTAGGATCCACCCGAGCTAAGTTCAACTGGTTTCACCTGGAAAATTTAGCAACAAGTGCCTTTTAGAGTACCGAGACTGCATGAAACTTGAGTATGGAAGTTCATAGGTTTCTGTTTTTTGATTCCTAGAATTAACAGCATTTTTTTTTGGGATAATGTTAACGAAGAATTAACAGCATTTTAACGATTTAATACCGTTTCAAAGGGAGGAAAGAGAGCAAGAGGGGGGATTTTCACTAACCAAACTCACAGTTAAATAAACACGATTACAAAGAAGATTTTTCTTTATTTCTTATTGCAAAGAAAAATATCGGTTCATAAAAAATATGTGTGACATGAATCACTATATAAAGTACACAAAATATATTCCTTATACTATGCCCTTCACTTTAAAATATCACAGCCTACAAAACTAGGAACCAGCCTAGACAGGAGCTTTGAGCACTCAGGCAAGTGGAATCCTTCACATGGTGCATTAAATATAAAGACCAATGATAGTCTTCTCAAAAAACATACCTATTGGATTGTCACAGGCAAGACCACGGACAGCTCTAACCAAGTATATGCTACTAAAATGTTTTCTCATTTTATTTTATTTATACTGGCAAGACCACGGACAAGTGCCAATTACAATTCAAAATTAATAAAAAAAAAATTGATACATTCTAATCACAAGGCATAAAACTTTTATTAAAAAAAAAAAAATGACACAATGTACAAGATTGAATCAAGAAACATGGAAGGAAAGTTACCAAATTACCTTCAATTGGATCACCTCCAAGGACAAAGCACACCCTACTCCAGATCTCCAATACCAATGGTGCACATGATCTAGGTCCTTTTCTTTAATCTCTAAAAATGGGAAGCCAAGGCAAAACCCTAATGTAACTATGAGAGCATGAACAAAGGTAAAACTCAAATCTCAAATCAATATGGGATAGGGCAATGTCTTACACCTAGCCTTCAAGCTTGGGGTGTGCCACCTATTGAGTCTTACTTTGGGCATGGCATCCCTTTGATCTAGGTTTTAGAGAAGGGGGAAGCCAAGGCAAAACCCTAATTTAACTATGAGACCATGACCAAAGGCAAAACTCAAATCTCAAATCAATATGGGATAGGGCAATGTCTTACACCTAGCCTTCAAGCTTGGGGTGTGCCAACTATTGAGTCTTACTTTGGGCATGGCATCCCTTTGATCTAGGTTTCAGAAAAGGGGGACGAGAGAGTAGCGTGGAGCTCTATAGATGGAGGAGAGAGAGAAAGAGAGAGAGGTCTCATGTGTGTAGATAGGCCAGCCCAAGGGGGGTATTTATAGAAACAATCTAGGGTTTCTGGGGCCAAGGTTTGCAGTCATAAAGAGATGGAATCATAACCGTTTATCCAAAGAGATCTGTCAGATAAAGAAAGGCTTACAATCTCAGCCACCCTTTCCCTATATCCGCCATTACAATTAAGGGGAAGGTTCTAGAACCCTTATCCCTCAGTTTCCTTGGCCCACTCCCTCTTAATATCTAATTTTAAGAAAATATAGTACATGTTTCCTAAAATATCAAGTTATGAACAAATTGCTATAAAATGCCAAATCAGCCCTTTCCCTCTCCAACAAATCTCAATCAAATATTTTAAAAAATTATCGTCGTCAACCAAGAAAGAGAAAAACCAAAGAGAGAGAGAGGTGGGACGTGGATGTCAATGAGATCCCATGTGGGCCCCATGTCCCCCACCAAGGTGGGCTATCCAGGTGTAGGACCACTGGAAATGGCCCCCACATACCCCCCAGATTTATAAAAGCCTTAATAAAATTTTAAATAACAAATAAGTATTTTAAAATTGCTCTATAATTTAAAAACATTAAAAATAAAATTTTAGGCCGCTAAAAATTTATTATGAAAAAACAAATGTATATAGAGCATTATAAAAATTCATTTTTTAATGTTCCATAATTCAAATAAAATATAATTAAACATAATGAAACAAGAATTGGATCCACTGAGTCAAGAAACATACAAATTTATTGAGGCACTCCAATTATTTTAGAAACTGTGAATTACAATCTTCTCAAACCAACTTAACAGAACCCATGACCCACAATCCATCGCACGGGCTTATGATTGGTCCATCAAAGTTGTCCAATAAATTAAGAGAACATGATTCTACTCTGTGATTAGAGGTACCTCCTGAGGACAAGCCATATCCCTTTTGGACATCGCACACTATCGCAATGGTGCAAGAGGTCCCTTTAGGTTGTTTCCCAAACACGGCTGTATATACATACATGTTGTGCGATGACAATGATAAGGATTTGGCCCTTGCCCTCTCAGACACGCCAATAAGGATTTGCCCTTTGCCCTTTCAGGCCCGCCAAACGCATAAAGGGTCATGAAATCCCATGGTCAACAAACCACCCTAAGCATCTATCCAACTTCATCAAGGGCTAACCCAACAGACCCTTCACGGTTGTGCCTTATACCAAGGCTATAGGGTTTTCAGACTCCATCCCGGGCAAGGCACATCAATCCTGAGTGAGTCATAGCATCGTAAAGCATGCCTCATTAGTCCCAACGAACCCTACTCCCACTGGAGTTATGATGTCACTATAGTCATAGTTTTAGATGTTCTCATAAGGCCTTTAAATGGCCACAAAACTCCATCAAGAGCAACATGTTTCATACGCCCATGCTCTTCCACCCCACAAAAAGGATACGCATAGCTTGATGTGAGAGATTGCAACCATAAAATCTGATGAAATTTTGTACTCTTAGGGCAAGTTCACACGGTCAAGAGAGCGTAGCAAAGGGACAACACCTATAGTCACCTCCCCACAAGTTCGAATGTCAACAAGAAGGCATTACAGGAGAAAGGCACCTCAAAGAAATCTGCGCCGACTCTTACAAATAAGACCTACCTTGCTTGGTGAACCATACAGATACATCCTCAGGTCCCTTTCCTAATTACCCACCTCATCAAGAGCAATAATCACTAGTACAGAAAGACCACCTCATACATCATGCCTCTAGTCATGTAACCATTGCTGGCACTATGTTTGCTGTTTTCCTTCACCTGTAGCATCATCGATCAACTCCTTAACATGTTCACAACAATACTAGCCTATTCTATCTCCTCAATCGTCTTCAGTATGCTCAAGTGCCTGCAAAGTATTCGAGGAGATCAACAATTCTGCCCCTCCATGATACTCAAACACTTGAGCTACACTCATTCCTGACTCCAATGGATCAACCCACATAGTCCAGCAGTACCAAGAATTGGTTGATGATGAATTGTTCTGCCACTATAACCTACAGCACCAAAAGCCACACCCAGTTCTCCTCCCATGTTAGGCCACCTTTGTTATTCCCCCGCTTGAGGATGTCAGTAAATGATTCCACTCCCATCATAAAAGATTGCACATACCCTACAGCCTGCCTCTAGGAAACCTAATGTTCTTAGGGTTTGAGTAATGCATGGAGATGCTCCAGCAAGGGCAGAGGCACCCCTCAACAACCACTATCACATTCCCCCGAAAAGGACCAAGCCGGCAATCCCTTGCCCTACAAGGTTTCAATGACATTGCCTGCCTAAGACATTCCATGCCCAGCAGCCATTTTGACTTCCCAGCAGTAAAAACCAAAGGCCTCAAGTATGGGTGATTCTCAGGTAAGGAGTGGAACTCCCTACGGAAGACCATCTACATCGTAACTAGTGGAACCATCACTGCAATCCAGAGGTCTGGGCCAACATAAAATCCCCAAACCTACAAGTCCTATATCAGCATCCTTCTCTGAGGGAAGTTGAAACAACAGGAGCTCTCCCATCACCAGAAAGACCGTCATCAATCCCTTGGAGCCCATAAGCAGATAGTATCAGCATCAGATTTAATTGCAATTAAAAATCCCAACAGAAAAAGAAAACAGCATACACTCCTGCAATTGGAAATTATTTTCCGATAAAAACAAATCGTGGACCTCGCATGAACTCCACCCGGCATTGCTCTTGGTGAGACTTGAGTCTTACGGGCACCAAGGCTGCCTCCACAAGGACCTCTACCTCTAATTCACCCAAGGGGCCACATACTAGCATTGAGGGCCCACGCTCTTACACAGACCAAAACAAATTAATCAAAAAATTGCAGATTATCCTAAAAAATTCAAAACGAAAAATGGATTTGAAACTTAAAACAGAATCTCATCATATTTCACCTAAGAGCATATTAGGTTCACGAACAAAATGACTCGAAAGCATCCATGAAAATTTCAAAAAGGTGGTTGCATCATACCTCAGACAGAACCTTCAACATTTGGTCAATGTACCACAGTTTATCAGGGGAAAACCTGCAAAAGAACAAAATCATAAAATAAATTTTCTCATATAAGAAACAAATATTATATGTATTATGGCAAATTATTATATAGGCAATGATAGAAGAAGCTCAAAAATTCAAAAGGAACTTAATCTATAAGCCATTCCAACTCTTTTGTATGAAGAAAGTACCTTCAACTGTCACCTCTCATCAAGAAAATTCACTCATTAAAAAAATAAAAATAAATAACAATCAAAGTCAAGTAGATGAGTTTATTGTATACCAGTACACTAAAAACGATTCTTACTACTAAAGAATACGACATGTGGAAATGAATCGTTATCTAAATACTAAAAGGCACTTAGGGATGAGGATAAATGTCGTTAGATTTCCTTCACTTCGGCCGAACAGGCTGAACTACTTGCCCTTGGCCTCTAAACCAAAGGGCAGCATTATTTCAACCAAATTGAAGCGCTTTTTCAACCACAGCATGACACAAATGTTTTTGAAGATATCCGGGGATAATCTCTTAATCAGAGCTAATAAAGTTTCTTAGAAGCAATTTTGTGACCAAAAATATCTTTATGGGATAATGGATATGGAAATTTTAAAGGAAACTTTTGGCATATCATTGAATTTTGAAAATGAATTTGCATAAGTTTGAATATTGAAATTCAATAACTACTTAGTATGCAAGAAAATTATAGGAAGAGCTCTAAATACATCTATATGTTCCTCCAAAGAGATGTCTACTACCAAATCAATCCATCATGGGCATCAACTAATAGAATGAGTTTTTAATGCATACATAACCAATTTACAAAAGATAATTACTGCTAAAACTAGGTGTCACCATCGGTGACCATAAAAAACAGGATGCATGATGTTGGTAATTACAAATTCCAGAAATATATCCCATATCTTAATACTTGAATTTCAAAAAAAAAATTACTTATTTTGAGGCTCCAACGAATATTCACAGCATAAACATTTGAAAAAGCGAATTTCCTTAAAATAATATTTTTAGAAATAAATTTCCATATTTTAAGCATCAATCATATTATCAATATAAAAAAAAAACTTAATTTTCTATATATTATTCTTTTTTAAAAATATGCCCAAAGAATTCCCTGAATTGACATAGCATTTAGTGCCTCTTCCCAGTTTAAACCAAAGCATGCTCCAAAGCGAAATTAAAGAGATTCAAAAATATATAACAAGAAAAAAGGTTCTTGGACTCAGCAAAAAAAAAAAAGAAAATTTTCATTCTTAAATCAGAAAAACATTATAGATTTCAAACATCAATTAATGAAAAATACGAGACCAATGACTAATTTACAAGTTTGGAGGTGGAAAGCACTGCAAATAGTTCAAAATCCATTCCACAGTAAACTGAAAAACACTTGGTTCAAAAGGCATTCCGTTGGAAGCTTTTATGCTATTTCACATCAATCATTGCATTTAAGAAATAGTATAGTTTGTGAGCATGTTCAGACTAACTGCAGACCACTCTAATATTGTACTCCAGAAAATAAAACAAGAGAGTTAATAGTGTCCTTCTAGGGAATCATGAATGCAACTTTAGGGCAAAGTGGAGCTCTAGGCAGGTCAAGCGCAAAACATCACAGCAGTGAGGCCTTGTTGATTGCGCTATTGATATACTCGAAAACAATGAGAAACATGAGAAGAGAGGAAAAGACAAATAAAACATATAGAGAGAAAATCTACTCCATACCTTAAGTTCAGAGTTCTCTAAAGAAAATTGCAAAATACAATCATAGGTTCACTCAGGTTTGATGGCTAGGAAAAGTACAATTTTCAAATATCTCTTGTCCTTCCATTTTAGTATATGCTCCTCTTTTCAGCTCCTGCCAATTTCTAAATCCCTCTTAACTATTTAGAGGAGAGATTTCTTGATATCTTAGTTCATATTATTGGTACATAAATTTCTATCTCTTCACCAAAGACTCTCAATCCTATGAAACTAATACTGGCACCATAGTTCTCCTTCCAAAACACAATTACTAAAGGAGAGATTTGATATTTTAGTTTCTATCACACTCAGATTTTATAGAAGAGATTTAAAGAATATTTTTTTAAAATATATTAATCTCTGATTATTCCTTTGCAAAAAAACAAGTGAGTTTAGAGGAAATTTCAGTTCATCTAAGAGAAATTGTGCCATACTTCAACACAATTGTCATAGGGTTATTTTTTAAAGGGTTATGTTAGGGTGCTCACACTATAGAGCATTTTATAATGTACAAAACAAATTTTGGACACTTATATACCCTTGTTTTGTAACAGAATATTTTTTTAGTAAGGGTATTTTCAGTCATTAAGAGGGGTGTGTCATCACCCACATTGAATGCTTTTTAAAAAAAACATGTGCACATTTTATTATCTCTATAAAGGATACATCTAATATACATGAGTAGAGCGCAAATGTAACACACTTGTTGTCTTCTAGTAAAAACTGAAGATGTTGACAGATGAAGATTTGGCACCACATCACAGAAGCCTCCTCTAAATCAAATCAATTATTAATATCCCAAATATATGAATATATAGCTACATCTCATGTGTATTTCTTGAGATTAATGGTTTTGAAGAAAAGGTTGACGTTGCAAGCTGACTTATACTAGACTCTTCAGAAAATGTTATCAGATAATTTTCTTTGCAAGTCCAGGCAAAACCGACTATAAAATCTGAACATTCCATAAGGAGCAGTGTCAAAAATATAATCACATAAGGATAAAAACACACATTATTTATCACATCAATGCAATTCAAATATTAAACGAACACTATATAAATTTGCATCTTGCATCCCACAAGAAACATCCCAAGGTCTACAAATATGATCACCAGAAAAGATGAAATATTCAAAAATGGATACTATTCTGTAATCCTGAGGTAAATACAGTAATAAATACCAAACATAGATGCACCCTTACTTTTCCACAATGGAACAGATCTTGGCACTAAGGTCACCCTTGAACTCTGGATCGCATACTTCAAGATATTCAATAAGTTCTTTAGTCAATGGCTTCACATTACTGTCATTCACCAACAGGAAAAGAAGTTCAAGGGCTCTCTTCCTGATTGAAGCATCAGAATCCTGCAGTAAAAAATGAAAAAAGAAACTCGAGAATTTTATAAAACATAAGCTTAATAGAAGGCTACCGAAAAAAAATTTAGAAGAAAAGAGAAACAGACAACATTAAGTGAAGCAGAACAAGACCATATGGGATGGAACCAACAATTGAAATAGGTAGAAATATTTTCAAATTCAAAATAACGTATGCCAATGAAATCAACAGCTATAAAACACAGAATCAATAATGTTTATTCAATCATCACCAATTATCCATTTCCTTTAGTATGTAAAACATTCATGACGAAACCGAAGCATCTGATAAGGTAGGGGATCCAAAGAAGATATCCACACACCATTACCCTCTCTATGTCCAAATTTTTCCAAATATCTGCAATCAAATTGAACCTTTCTACACATCTAATTTTGCATACAAAAAAAAGACAGGCAAATTTATATCAGCAACTTTGGACCACTACGTTAATATTGGTTTTATGCAACCGTTTGTGCTTCACATGTGGGAATCAATCCCCGCAGGCCCAAGTATGTACCCTATTTTTTTCCTTTTGTTTTTTGGGAGGAAAGGTTGACTTCTTAGGTGTGAACTCTGTTTTACCTAAACCAGAGATTTTTTGAAAATCTCTTTTGCACATCTTTTACATGGTTCCAGTTCATTTGGACATCTGATTTTGTAAGATATTAAAAACACTAATTTATTTTTTGAGGGTTGTGTCTTTCATACCCAAAAAAAACATAAAACAGTGAAAATCAATATCAATATGCTTCACCACATCCCAAAATAACTTCAAATCAAGTTATGTAAGGATCAAAATCTGTGAGAGAGACCTAATTTTCGAATCTAGTTGATATGAGCTCAAGGTTGAGGCCTAAGATTCAACTCTTTCTTTGGATAAAAATCATACATTTATGCAGGAAAACTGATTTGAAGTATCATGAACTGTATTGGATATCCATTGAAATTAACATCTTTGGATAAAATCATACATTCATGCAAAACTGATTTGAAGTATCATGAATTGTATTGGATATCCCTTGAAATTAATATCACTTGTGGTGTTTTAGGTCGAAAGAGTCCAGTTGATTGCTGCGTTCATTTTAAAATTAAATTTGCCATATTGCATATTTAGAAGAGAACTGAAAGGCTCTTGTGATGAAACCATCCCAAACCACTTAAATTTGCAAAAGAAAATATTCTTTTATGCTATTTAAGAAACAAAATCAAATTATTCTGGGTAATTCAGCTGTGGGATTCAAATCTCAGATTTCATGCAGCAGCCCCCAATGGCCTAACTACTGAGCCAAATTGTTACTGAATCGTAAAAGAGAACAATCTTTTTGCTAGCAACATTCCACAATTTAGTTTTCAAAGATACACAAGTGTGACAAAAATTTTCTAGCCCGCGAATAAGAAACTTTGCGCATTTCAATAAAAACCAAGAACACTCATGAATTCTATACATAACCACCTACATATTTTAAGAAGTGCTCATTTATCACTCTTTGGAATATTTTACTTATGAAAACACCATTTGTACTTGGAATCTCTTGATGCTGAGAAGTAACAAAGAACAACTAAACATAATAAATACCAAGAAATGTACCTATATATACATAGAGATTGTAATTTGCTTCCATATATATTTAGTACAATTAAAAAAAATTCCCTCAAAAAAAACACTAAGAAATTTTAAGCAATACTGAACAAATTGAACACAATTACGAAACAAGCATTTTACTGATTGCAAAAATTGACTCCTTAAATCAAAGTAGGACGAATCAAATATATTTGATACTACCACTAAAATCATTAGTCCCGATTGTTGAAGAGAACTGGTATTAGAAACCATGTTTACCGCATGCAAAAGATGATAAGAAATTCAAACAGGTGAATTCTATCAAGAGAATGAATGAACAGAACTTAATTCAAGAGTTCACAGCACATGGCAACTAGATAAAGAATAATAACATGTTATAAAAGATTGCTAAAATAGACTTGTTGTAAAGCAATAAAGATTGAACAATTTAGGATGAATGGGATAATCGGAACAAATGGGACCAACTTCAAAAATAAATAAATAAATTAAAAAATTATGTTCTGAATTTATGATGCATGATTCTCAGGATGTAAGTCTTTTGGTACCTTTACACACTCTAAAATCGTTGTCCGGTGCCGTTGCACTGCTTGACCATCAACCGTGATAGCTTTCATTAGCATATTTAGAGCCACATACCTTAGAGAGAAAACATAAAAAGACACTTATATACACTCCACAGTTTTGGATATCAGCTCCATGCTCAAGTCTATTTTAACAAATGAAGCAATATAAAAAGCACAAAGTTTGCAAGACTGGACTTTCAGGATATGCAGCTTGTATACAAGAATTTTCATCGGGTCAAAGACAGATAGATGGTATCTAAGTTCCCATGCCATGCAAGACAAGATTCAGCACACACACGCGTGTGTAAATGTAGAAAAGTTAGCATTTATTGAAAAATATAATTATAATGAGACAACAAAGCCTTATATAATTTACTAAGTTTCTAATTTATGAAAAGTATCAAGCTAGAACATTACATGGTCGCCCAAAACCAGCGCATCTCAAATTGAAATATGAAGGAAAATAGTTTGGCACAGTTTGACTACCCCATGACCAAGGAGCCACATTTCATTAACCCATGTTTCTGAATGGTATGGACCCAGAAAGCTCCAAATCCAATATATTATTCAGGTACAAGGTTCAAAAGGGCAGATGTGGATGCCTAGATACCTGGACAGCCCTAAGAGAAGGGGTTGAGTAGGGGCCATATGTTGTTTTTTGTGTGTGTGTGTTTTCTGAATGTATGTGTATGTGTTTAGTGTGTGTATGTGCATGTGCACGTATATGTGTGCATGAGGTCTCGCATGAAATTCTTAAAGATCATCCTCTTTTTTTCTTTTGCATATGTATTTGTGAGAGAGAGAGAGAGAGGGACCTCACATCGAACACTTGGAAGTCATTTTCTTCTTTTTCTTTTTTTTACATGTAAAGGAGCATATGGGTCCATGTGTATCTTTCTGTGTGTATATGCGTGTGCGAGAGAGAGGCCACGCATTGAACACTTGGTTCCATCTTCTTTTTTTGACGATACAAAAAAAGAAGATGGAATCCAAGTGTCCAATGCGCGGCCTCGCCCTCTCACACACACACACAACGATACACATGGATTCCATCTTCTTCTTCTCATATATAGAGATCACATGGACATGAGAGAGAGAGAGAGAGACAGACAGACTAGGTGGCCGCCCGACTTGAGCCCGCATTGAGTAGCCCACCCAGACCCCACAGCCTAGCCTAGGCGGTTTGTCGACCGGGACACATAGGCGGCGAATTTTTGTTCATTGTTCAAGTATTCTACAAGATCGATCTTCTTAAAAAAGGGAATTGGAGCCCTAAAAATATTCCAACTCAAATACCATCTCAAAATCTGAGATGTGAAGGCTTTTAAAAGTGCCAATCAATTCATTGGTGATGGAAAAGTAACAAAAAGTATTTAAAGTGTTATGCAGTGTTCCAAAAACACTAGGCAGCGCCTAGGTGACGGGGGAGGCCTGGCCACCCAGCGCCTAGACGACCAACCAGAACCTGAGCGGACTAGAACTATAAGAAAAATAAGAAAATAAGAATAGATAAGGAAAATACTAGATCGTAGATAGTCCATAATCTATACTTGCATACAATGATACAACCATACAGGCATGCACACAAGAGTAGATAGTAGAAATTAGAAAATAAGACAAATAAAATATACAGTCTGAGACTCAACACCAAGAGTCACGCGTCTACCGTCATCACCATCATCATCAAAAGAAGCAGCGTAAGCATCATCATACACATCGGATTCCAAGCCATCTTCATCAGAGTCATCTCCATATTCAACACAATGATCATCCTCCTTTGTTTCTTCTAAATCTACTTCTTCCTACTCTTCTTCTACCCCCCTCTTACTTTGTACAGATAAGGCCCTAGAAGTCTGAACTGCTCTACCTGGTGCCTCTTCACTATTTTCTTGCTTTTTGTGTTTCACTGAACTCAAATAGTGTTTAATCTTTTCCCTGGTAGCCTCGGGAACATTTTTACACAGGGCAACATCCCTTTTCATACGGTAAGGTGTTTCTTGAACCTGTAAATACCCCCAATTAGTATCCTTTCCACAATAATTACACCTTATACAATTTTTGTCATTCGGATTCGGCTTATGAACATACTTCCAACTGGATCACCGCTTCTAGAAGAACCTGGAGAAGATATTTCTATATAACAAGTCTCATTTTCTTCCTTTTCTGGTTTTACTAAATTCAAATATTATCTAATCTCATCCCTAATAGCTTTAGGAACCTTTTTGCAAGAAGCAAATTCCCTTTAATAACGGCTAGGTGTTTCTTGAATCAGTTAATACTGAAAAAATTACACTATACATTTTTTATTGTCTGGTTTCAAGTGATAACCATGCTTCCAACCCAGATCACCTCTTCTAACAGAATCAGAAATAGAGTTATCCAAATTACAAGGATTTTGTTCCTATTTGTGTTATATTGAACTCATATATTGCTTAATCTCCTCTCTGATAGCTTCAATAACATTTTTACAATGGGCAACATTCCCCTTAATACCAACAAGATGTTTCTTAAACTGGTTTATGACCCTTTTTGTATCATTTTCACAATAATTGCATCTTATGCATTTTTCACCGAAGTGTAATCCACAAAGCTATGAATGCTGCTTTAAATACCCTCGTCCCCAAGATAGAAGGGGCTGAAGAGCTTAAGGACTTTCACCCTATAAGCTTAATCAATTCTTATTATAAGATCCTCTCCAAAGTGCTTGCCTCTCGGCTCAACGAGATTCTACCCCATGTCATCTCTCTCTCCCAGAGTGCCTGCCTCAAAGAAAGGTAGATCCTCAACGAAGTCCTGATGGCGCATGAATGTATGCACTCCAGGCACCTTGCCAAACAACCGGGCCTTATCTTCAAAATCGATTGTGAGAAGGCATATGACCACGTCGATTGGGCCATCCTGGATGAGAACATGGACCGCATGGGATATGGGGTGCGATGGAAAACGTAGATGAAAAGCAGCTACTCCCGACCCTTCTTCTCTATCCTTATCAATGACACACTCAGGTGTGTTTTCCCAGCTTCTAAGGGACTGTGCCAAGGAGACCCCCTCTCCCCTTTCTTTTCGCCATCTCGGCCGAGGTCTTTACCCAATCTATCTCACCCATGTATCAGTCGGCTGGCTCACTGGCTTCAAAAGTAGCCCCAGAGGTCCTGTCATCTCACACCTGCAGTATGATGACGACACGCTCAAGTCTTTCTTAAATGTTTTGAGTTTGCCATGGGTTTCAAAGTCAACATGGCTAAATCAACAATGATTGGCGTAGTCCTTACTTCACTTCAATTCAATCCCTTGTCCCCTGGTGGGACTGCAAAGTGGACGACCTGCCAACGAGCTATCTTGGAATGCCACTGGACCTTGGAAAACCTAAAAAGAGGCAGAGGTGCCACATTGCTGACAAAGTGGATCACCGTTTGGCAAGATGGAAAAGATAATTTCTCTCTTTCGTGGGCAGATCCACTCTCATCAAGGCAACCTTAGCCAACACCCCCATTTATCTCATGTCCATGTTTCACATGCCCGCTGCGGTTGCCTCCCACCTTGAATAGTTAATGAGGAACTTCCTGTGGGCAAGAGACGTCAACACCAAGAAGTATCACCTCATCTCTTGGGAGAAAGTCTGTCAGCCCAACACCTAGGAGGTCTCGGTATTTGCATTTTGAGGAAACAGAATACGGCCTTGGTCGAAAATTGGTGGTGTCACCTTGCAACTCAAAACAACCTCCTCTGGACCCAAGTCATCTGTTGCTAATACCGCATCCCTGCCAATGATTGGTTACTTGCTCGAAGACCACCAAGTAGACCATCTGGGGTATGGAAGTCCTTTTTATCTAACTTAGCTCTATTTCAAAGGAATATCCACTTCCACCCTAGAGAGGGACATCGAATACGGTTATGGTCCGATCTCTGGATAGGCCACACCCCTCTTATGAACCTTTTCCCCACTTTCTTCTCGCTGGTCATAAACAGGCTCTCCCTTGTGTCGGATGAGATGCCAACTTCCGAGACCCTCAGAGTCTGGAACCCTTCTTTCAGGCGGCCTCTCCTTGACCCTAAAACCTTTGTAGTTCTTCACATGTCATCCGTGCTTCATTCGACCTTCTTGGCTTTTTTGGGCCTGACCAAATCCTTTGGACCCTTCACCCTCAAGTTGTTTTTTTGTCGCCTTTTTCTAAAAAAACTTTTGATGCCACCTACTTTCCCACTATCCTCGAACTCCATTGTCACCCAGGTATGATCTTCTATTGCTCCTCCTGAAGTCCAACCTTTGGCATGAATTGCCCACTTTGAAAAGGCCCTACTATGGACTACCTACAGCATAGGGGTGTCCCTATCCCCAATCGTTGTGCGATGTGCCTCTCGGACGAAGAGAGCAACCTTCAATTTTGGGGTTTTCTCTCTCTAAAATAGCTTCTACTGGGTTTTAGGTTTCAAATGAACCTAAAACCCACAATTTTTCCCCTTCATTATTAAAAAAATGACCCAAAAATACCCTCAAAGAGCCGCATTTCCGCCTCTGGGCGGCTACCCGGGCTGGCGCCCAAGGATATTCGCTTAATTTGGCCGCCTAGGCCTAGACGATGCACCCAGGCCTTCTGGACCACCTAGGCGGCCACGCAGGTGCTGCTGGTTAGTCCGCTTTTTAAAACACCGCCAGAAAGTCTATATTAATTTTACTCATACAAGCAAAGAAGCAATAATAAAACCACAGCAGCATCTTCCACAAAGATTTACACATTATTGTATCATTTACCGCCAAAATATGTTGAAGTGACATTTTAGTGTTCGAAAATTCGGCCACTCAGTCGCCTAGGCGGCCAATCGCTTAAAAAGCCCAGGCAGAACTTAGGAGGGGCACCTAAGCGACATCCATCTAGACGCCCGCCTAGGCAGCCAAGGCGGCGCACTACAGTCAAGGCACCCGCCTAGGCGCTGCCTTTATGCAAGTTGCCAAGGGTGGAAAAATGCCCTTAGCTATAGTCAAAATCTTAGTTGTTGGGATCGAGAGCGAGAATGGTTACCGGGATCGAGATCGGGAGTGAGTGATCGTGAAATACTAGAAGATCCCTATAGTAGGGAATGCTGTCTGTACAATGCACATGTTAGGGATCTTGATCCCGACCTTTTGGGGATCTTGATCCCGACCTTTTGGGATCTTGATCCCAACCTTTTTGAGATCTTGATACCAACCTTAAAGTGTATGATAATCAAGGATTATGTATACTCTTTAAGATAGGGATATCATTATTTATAGAAAGCAAGCAATATTTGTGTTGCAAGTTGGCTATAAACAAAGAAAATCATCAGTTTTGTTGCTTTCTTAGTCTTTAAGGTTGGGATCGAGATCCCTAACAACAAGAATCGGGATCCTTTTTTGCGGGGTACGAGATCCTAAAATTTAAATTTCGAGATCCCTTAGAGTTTCATTCCAGAAGCGACAGAATCAAGATTCTACAAGGGATCGCCTACCAAAGTACGAGATCCCAGTAACTATGGTCAAAATAGTAAACCCCCTACCCCCCCGGTTAAAAGGGGGGGAAAGGGTTTTGAGGGAAATTCTGAACCCCCAAAATCAAATCCGTGCCATCTAGAGAGAGAAATATTCCCAAAAAAACCTATATTTGTGATTTATCAAAAAATCGACAAATTTTGGATTTTTTTTATTTCTTGCGAAATCAAAGACAATGCTTCGTGGTAGTTTTTGGTGCTTCTAGTGGTCAATAGTGACAACTTTTGGCCATCGAATTGATGAGGTTGGGCCGACATTGTTTTCATTTTTATATTTTTAGAGCATTATGCTATTATGAAAGTTGAATAAGGGTTCTGATGTTTTTTGCTATATTGTATTGAATCATTTGATATATTTTTTTTAACTTTTTTCTTTTTATGATATATTTACATGTATGTAGTTGAAAGATTGATTTGTTTGTAATTAATTGATTATTAATTTGTTTAGACAATGAAATTGGTCCCATATCGAATTGTTTTATGAATAAATGGTCCTACATTATAACTTATATCTTAATTTTTTTGTGAATAGTCCGTACCTGTCCCTAATCCTGGGCATAGGCGGCCAAGCCCCCAAAAAGCGCCTGTGTTTTTTTTAACATTGCATACTATCTATATAAACAACCATCAAATTCATTGAAAACTATGGCTGACAGGACACACGATTGAGGAAACCTCCTAATCATAGATTTTAAATACCATAGAAGGAAGAACTAGAAAAACGTATAACTATAGGTTCCAATAACATAGAGATTGCAAACTAGCATCTGGTTAAAAAATGGGTTTGTTGAATATAAAAAGGACAGCAGTCAGCTGATATCTAATTTAGAATATTAAATGAATTGCAAGCTCACCGAATATTGTTGTCACGGTTTGACAAAAATCTTCCTAAAATATTTATGGCGAGTACACGGAGCCCTCCAGTAGCTTCGATGCTCATGATGGTTTCAACACATTCATACAGTATAGCATTTCCTGCATTTTTGTTGGACTCAGTACTTGTTGCAACCTGCGACCAAAAACAATTAACATAATTATAGGGATATATGATTTGAACTACAATAGACATCAGTATGGCATGCAAAGAAACAGAGGATTTCCATAAAAATGAGCATTAGTGAAGTATATTTCCATATTGCCACAAAAGAACAGCATTTATGAAATTGTAGCATACAAACTTTATGATACATGAAAACTCTCGACCAACTACTGTCAACAACAGACAGTCGGGATGAATCATTCCCCCAGTGCGACAATGGCTTCTTTTGCAGATGAGTCATACCGTTGCTTACAGATAATCGGGGTCATATGCAGCATACTTTTTGTGTGGAAATTTGCCAATTTTGGCAAGATGGTGAACTTTAAAACATACTCCCATAGAGTGAGGGCAAGAGAACCAACTCTAAAGCCCCATTGAAAAACATAAGCATTGGGTTTTGAGAACAGGCAAGAACTCATATAAAATAAACTCACTCAAGCGAGTCAACCAGGTAACAGACGGATCCACATTTAGAAGTCGACTGCACTGCTTACCAAGTTCAGATGAATTGGCCAAGCAAATGCATATATATGACATTATGACCTACGATATGTATACATGCATGAGCTCACTGCATGGACATGTATGTGTTAGACAAAAGAGAGAGAGAGAGCAATAAACACACAACCGTAAATGAAGACAACAAAAGATAAATGCAAGAAAAAATAAAGAATGCAACACCTAGTTTCGAACTACAAAAGGACTAACATCCAGGGTTTTAAAATGTGGATGTGGTCGTGATATGGTCAGGGGCATGCGGCAACGCCGCTCGATGTAGTCCAAATGCAGGTGCACCATCCCAATGCAGTCAATAAATATAAAAAAATTCAAAAACTAGGTTAATGTATGGAAACAAATATGAAGACGATTTATATCATAGTAGGAATTTAATTTATTCATTAACTCCCATATTATCAGCTGTTAGGAGACTCTTAATCCTGTGATGGAAGAGTCATTAAACAGTAGAAACTAGAAACTTGAAAGTAACTTTAGAAGACATCATATTATCATAATTCATAAACATCCAAAAACCATAATCGCAATTGCAAACTTTAAAGTTGCAAACTCCAAAGCTACATACAACCACTAAAAGTCTGTGAAGAGTTCAGGAGTCGAGACAAAACATAGAAGACAATAGAAACCAAAAGATAATCTAAACAGCTCTCAACTCTCAAAATTATTTTTCCCTTCTTTTGATCCAAAAACAGACATGAATAGGGCTGTCTATTGCGTTTCTTTTTTTTGGTTGTTTTTGGGTGTGCGTATTTTGGGGGTGTGTGTGGGGTGTTAGTACTCCCCAAAACCCATGACCAAATTGCCCACGCTTGTGGGCACTATTTTCGCCCACGAGTGTGGGCGGGCCATGCGGGCGCTATGCACTATGAGCCCGCATAAGTGGGTGCACCCCACCATAGCGTATATGTGCTCCTAGGCGATGCGCCTTGGGGCACATAGCACATTATGTGGCCGCATTTTAGAAACAATGCTAACATCAAACCCCAAATCATGTATCAAAGAAATACACACTTTCTTAGTAATTTATAAAATAATGAATACCCTGCATCTAAATAGTCATGTAACCAACCCGAATCCACCACAAGAGAGCCTAGTTGAAGAACATATGTGAGAATGGGTCTCAGATGGAGAATGGATCATGGAGACTCTGTACTACCATAGGACAAACTTCCATCTTTTGATTATTTACTCTTTATGACTTGATGCACCAATGGAATTCATGGTTTCTTAGTAAAGATCAGGAACTGGAAGCAACCATGACTCAAAGACTGCCTATAACTCTCCAATATCCTCCATCCCTCTTTTGACAACCTCTACAAATTCTTTTGAGCTACTCCTCCCCATAAAGCATCCAGCAAATCAAAGCTAGGAAGCTGACAATTATAAGAACATAATAAGATCAATTTGCAACTCAGATCCTACATGATCAACACATACATGCAATCTGTAATCAAGCAAAGATATATTCAATGGAAGACTGAAATTCATAAGACGTATCAGGAATCAACAACAGCTGTTTAAGATGGACAAACATATCTCTGTTTTTTTGTCCTATTATTTTAGTGAAACAATAAATGGAAGAAGGCTGTTGCTTCATGTCAAATTACTAAAAGTGGAGTGCAACACATTAAAAAAAACATCCAACTCATATAGTCAAGTTAAACATCTATATCTCCACAAGACCATATGTTTCAATTGACTCAGCAACCCAAAGGAGAAACTAAAGATATAAACTGCCAGGTGCATTAGTTTCATTAAGATCACCAGAGATTGACTAATGCCTTCACCCCCAGAAAGACTGCAAAAATGCACAAAAATAATTCGAAGGAAAAGCACATGAATATACAAACTAACACTTAAAAAGTAATCTAATGGTTCAACAGATCAACATGAAGATCAGTAAGAAGAATGAAGATAAGTCACTATTATAATAAGAAAGAACAAAAATAATAGGAAGCAAATTGTGTTGCACAAACCTGAGCAAGAATGTCACTCATAACATCACTGGCATCAGCATCTCCTTGCCCCAAAATACGAAGGAGCCTAAGCACTCTAATCTGCAGGAAAGGATCCGTGATACCAGAAATGTCGTACTCAGGAGTATAGCCACTAGTAATAACGTTCTTCAAAACCCGAACCAAATCCTTTGTATGCTGCAGCAACATTCATGGTGAAAAGATAGCATCATGCAACTGAAAATAGTATTATTCTGAGTAGACTACCATCCAACACTGCATTGTATCAGCGTCTCATGCCTTCCAGATCAATTAGGGGTGCTCACACTAGCAGAAATCATGCTCAGTGAAGCTCAAATAAGGCAAAGGCAATATCCAAATTATACGCTAAGAATGAAACAACGGAAAACAAAATTAATGACTAGGAAAAATGAGAATTATGCTTAATCAATAATGAAGTAATCAAAAGGGCTCATGCAGAACCGGAAACATGATCGAAACTCATGGAAAAACTTAAAAGCTAGCTAAATGATCAACATTCTAGTTCTCTAGCACATCATTCTTTCTAACAGAATATTTTAGCCACTATATTGGTTCATAAATGCTGCAGTTTTTTAATAGAAACAAAGTTCTAGTATTACAACATAAGATGGAGACTTGTTCGTCGAGAAAAAAAAACAGATGGATACTGGAAGAGACTAGCAAGCTGACATATGAGACAGCACTTTGACTACTATCTTACCTCTGAGAGTGAGAGAACATAATAATTACAATGAAGTGCATATGCTGACATGTTCAAGATTCTGAAAACCCAATGTTCATCTCATGTGATATTGTTTGTTTTTTTTTTAATAAGGAAAATGTTATGATAGGGCTGCAACCCAAACAAAATAAGCAAAGTCTCTCACCTCAAAACTCGCCGAAAATTGCAGTTTTGGCGTCGGGAAACCTTCAAATCGATCATCCCGGCCATGACCAAGTGGTTGTTAAAAAAAATAATGATTTCAACCTTAAAAGTAGTGTATATTGTGTAACACATTATCTGAACCATGAATTTCAACCTGAAATAAGTGTTTACGGATCCGCAAGATTTGTACCATTTTTTGCGATTCAAATAATTCGATATTGGAAATTGATTTTAGAGCTATAATGGAAATTTCCGATGCCCAAAAAGCTTTCTGGACAGGAATTTGAGGTGATGCTTTAGCTTGTTTTAAGCTTAGGCCTTATAGAAACTGCATCCTTTTGATAATTACCACATGTCATATTTACTGTGTATCACACATTTCACAGTTGAGATAGAAATCCATTTCACAGTTGAGATAGAAATCCAACAGGTTACTTGGTGTTACCAAGAAAAAAGAAAAAGGTAACTTAAATAGCAAGGTGCCTTTTTAATTAGTCCTTCTCTTGCATGTGTTATAAGGAGCCTATCGTTATTCCAAGATCTCAAAATCATGTGCAGCTGTTGCAAGTTAGAAGTGTAGGTAGAAGTGTATGTATCATAGAATCATAAAGAAAAGCAGAAGCATACATATTGACATGTATGTCTTTGTGTGAAAACAACAATGTCTAATCTAAAGAAAGAAACAAAGTTCTTTTTAAAAGAAATAAAGTTCTTTTTTTCAATCAATTATTTTCCCATTAGAAGACTTTGAGAGCTCAAATCATAGAGCATAGAACAACCAAATACAGAAAGATCGGAAGACTAATCTATAACCCATTGCCCACACAAAAACAAAATCAGAATATGGATACTTTACCTTTCTTAGATATTCCAGGGCCTCCGAACTGGCTTTGCACAGATCCATACAGAGTTGAACACCAGTGATTAAAACTCCGTGATGTTTTTCACCAAGAAAAGCTCCAGCAGGTTTCATAAAATTTTCAGCAAGATCTGGCACTTTTCTAATAATCCTGATGGAGCACAAAGCTGCCTACAACGCAATAAAAGAACAGCATAAGACAATTAATGAGGCAACGCTTAAAAACAAATTACTAAAGAATATCCATACTAATAGATTAAAATGACGCTTGAACTAAGAATCTCACAGAAGAATTCTAACTAAAAAAGAAAGATTCTATAGTGGATTTATATCATCTAAGGAATCAGATCCACCCATTACAAGCACTCTTTCGGCAGCATACACCCTGTAAGTGGATTGTAAAACTTTTCTTTTGCCTTCCAGTTTGTTAATTTATCGGTTACAATCCCAAGAAATCTTTAACCCTAAGGGTTATTTCTCTTCCATATTGCGTGAAAGAGGAGTGTCTTCCACAAATCATGGAAGCGGCGGCTTCCATGCTAACAGGGCATTTTTACGCTGAGTGTGGAATGTGCAAGTTCCATTTTGCGGCTTCCACGCTCTGCAACAAACATGGGAGGGCAAAATTGGTGGAACTTGGGTCTTTTGCTCCCAAAACATTCCACCAATCAAACACGCCCTAAAGCATTCTTTTTTGTTATAATGTGTCTATATTATCCTCTCACAGCTGACCATAAAGGTCGTTTGCAACCTATGTCACATAGACATGAATATTTGTGTTAGTTTTTGAGACATGTGAGTGCCGAAAACACCAAAACTCAAAATTTTTCTTTTAAATATGATACATCTAAACACCATTTAAAGAAGGGGGGAGGCAGGATTGTAGGCGACATTTGGTACTTTCATAGTAAGATTAAAAATATATATATAAGAGACAGTGTTTAGGTTTCCAAATTGTTGGACAATGTGTCATATCCTTGGTGGGTAAACAAGAAAACCATGGACATGTGTGTGCAAGTTAGATAGTTTGCAACAGAAATGGGCTTTTTGTATGCGTGTGTGTGCACGAGCGTGTTGGGGACGGGGGGTGTATATATATATATATATATGGGTGGCACAGGTTGTGAGGGTTCTACACACTAGCAATAAGAACTAAAATAATTTATTCCTTTGTTTGAAAAGCCTACGAGCCAGTGGTCGGGGTCAGAGCCTGAGTCACTTTCGTCAGACTTGGATGAGTAAGAATCGGACAGGATGATCTACTAGCCAATCAAGAGATCAAAAGAGAAGCAATAAAGTTATCAGAACAGTTCAAAAGGGGGAAAAAAAAAGAATTAAGAATGAAAAACCATATTTGTCAACAAAATACCAAAAGCATCATCAATAAAAGGAGTATTTTAAATCACAAAATTAGTTCAGGACTGCCCTAAGCCCAAATCAGCAGCCCTATTCGGCCAAATCTTACACTGCTAAAAAAATTTCTAAGAGAAAATTGCAGAAAAAATAGAATTGTACTCATTTTTCAATAATAAGCGACAAATATGCAACACGAAGATAGACATTGCTATGTTGATTCCCACACATCCCTCTGCAAAACGTTGGGAAGACATAATCCAATCCTAAATTCCAGTTGATTTTGCCACATGTTTCAAACACAAATGGCAGCTGACACATTCCAATTCAGCCATCTCAAGGAGACCTCAGATGCAGTCGGATGTAGGCCTCAGCATGCCCTCTGGCTCACCTCTGGGATGTACACCAAGACTCTATCCAATCTCATTATGTTTGATTTTTCAGGTTGTCAGCAAGAACAAGTAAACCACGCTCTGCCCAAAGATTGAAATTAAATCATACAAGTATCAACTTTGGTTTCCATGTTCCTCGTGAGAAAACAGAAGGATATCAAAGTCACCTCCTGAACTATCAATAACCCGTGTATTTGGGATTAATGCCATGAGAACCCCTGTCAATGCTCTGCCTGGGGTTCTACATCCAATTAAAATGGTGCAGTCACCCATTTATCGATATCACAACCTCCCTTTCATGAGTTACGAGAACTTGCAGCCTAAGTGGATGTCCATTTTACCTCCTTTTAATGGAAATCATTAACCAAAATTAAGTTATTGGCTTTGTACCATATGACCATAGATAACAACATATATTTCTATTTTTACAAAAAAAGGCCACGTTGTGTACCTAACTCTCATCACAACTTAGTCAACCTTTCTCAAGGGGGGGAAAAAAAAAACTCATCAGGACTTGCATGCAAAACAAGAAGCTGGAGAGATGCCACAATTACACAACCCAAACACACAACATCAAGCTTTTAACGACATCTAGACACCCAATAAAATAGAAACTAGTACCAAGTAAGAATGTCTTTTCTACAGCCCAGGAGTTTGGAGAATCCATCACAAAAACTAGAAAAGACTTCAGCATGTTCACAATATGAAAGAATGCATAACTACTTACAGAGTAAACGAAAAGACATCAATTGACAGAACAGTAAGAAAGGGCAAAATAAGTGCAACAATTAGTGAAAGTGAGAAGACCAAATAAGGATACTTGTTACAAAATCATGAGTCCATAAGTTATGCCAGTTGTCCAAATATAGCACACATAATCAACAGAAACAAGATTATGTCCTGCACAATCAAAGCATACTAAAATAAGGGAAGATGTTACCTTTTTGCGAATGTTAGGATTGCTATTTTGAAGCAATCTTTCCACTTCAGGAGCAAGATCACGTGCCATTTCTGCAGAACAAATATTTCCAAGTGCACATAGAGCAAGACCCACTATGTATTGATTTGAATGATTAAGATCTCTGCAAGCTTGTCAAGGGTTTTGGAAAGCTTTCTATGCATCAAAATCATCAAACTAGGTGATACAGATACATATATTAGTTCCAACTATAGCTATTTAACAAAAAAAATGTACACCATGCAAGGAGAAAACAGCCGATTAGGATACTGCTTTAAGGAGTTTGTAACCAACATGAGAACTTCCTGCCTTTCATCAAGAAGCAACATGAGGCCAAGATATCCTATTCGTTTCTCAGGAAATCCAGAAGATGCAATCAACTTAAGACATTCCATTTGACCAAAATGGGTGGGGTATCCAAGCATGTGGATGAACATGAGCTTTGCCAAGTTCCTATGTCTGTAATCCTGGTCATTTTCACTTACTGCTGCACGTATGGCTGCACACTCTTTCCTTACAACAGCACGCTCCTCTGCTGCAGTTTTGCAGGCTCGTATAGCTCGTATCATATCCCTACAGGAAACCATTGAGCTTATATTAAGCACTGAGTAAAAAGTTTAATCAAGTGATTGAAAACACGGACTCAGGATGGAGCCCCCGCACAGCTCGAGCCAGAGAGTTGGTCAGTTCCAGAGAGTCGGTCAGTTCGGCGCAGCTTAGTCAATCAAAAGTGGTTAATCTGAGAATGAAATGGCTAAAAAGAAAACAAAGTTCCTGCTCCAGATTCTCCAAGAGTAACACTCTCATCTTCTGCATGGACCCATGCACATATAAGCATCATGATCTATAATTGAAATCAACTTGGTGCCTAGTCACTTTTATTTTGATCACTCAACTGCATGGCTTCACTTCGATTATCATTAAAAAAGATTTAGATATAAATACAGAATTTCTTGGGGCAAGCAATTCATATGTAGCAAGTAAAACAAGCTAGCCCTTTTTTTTTACCATTAAGGAAGACGATAGAATTTTTTGTCGCATACGACATAATATTATACCAAAGAAACAACAAATTTTACAGCTAAACCCCTATCGTACTCAGTCATCATATCAGCCAATCTGTACTCCATTTGATTTAGAATGCACTAACCGCCTCATCTCTATCAACATAATTTGATACAAGGATATCTATACGTCCCCATGATGCAGGAAAAAAAATGTGGGAAATTAAATCTACCCTTTTCTTAAACCTTAAACAAGTAAAATCAACAATAATGGAAAAAAAATCAACAATAATGGAGAAAGAAGATTTTTCTTCTTTCAAATAAAATTCATTCTCATAACATATGCCTCTCTCAAAATATGACATCCAACCTTTTATAAGCCTATGAACATCCACCCAATGTGTGGGGTCGTTCCCTTTTTTGTCTCTCTCTCTCTACCCCTGAGCCTTAGTGCTCTCTACTATAATTTATGTATTTTGAGCACCCAATATGTGGGATGCCGTAGACAGAACATTCTTCATGTAAATTTCTTTTATTTTATACAAAGTTAACATTCTCAAAAAAAAAAAAAACCTTTTATAAGCCTCTGAAACCCTAATTCAACTTGAGATCCAAGTAAACATTTAAGACCCTAAAACACCCTTAAAACACTACTAAAATTTCAAAAAACCCTAGTAAACAGTAATGCATGAATAGTACTTATGAACAGTAAATAAAAAAATATAAAATGCTAGAATCCCAAAAAAACTTAAAAACTATAAAATAGACCCGAAGATTAAAATCAAAATATACATCCTTTAAAAGTGAATAGAAATAAAAATTAAGAATAATTAAAAACAAAGAATAATTTTGCCCTCCATCATTCTCCTCTAGTTAGAGAAAACCCATCCTCGAGTTTTAAAGTGTGCTAAGATGAATTCAACATCAAAACCACCTTCTTCAACCTTCTTTTTCTTTGTCAGCTCAAATATTATTTAAGTGGTAAAAAGAATTCATACAGAAATGGATCTTGATATGCATATTGAGAAATCAATACAAATTTATCAAATTCAACTATTCTTGAACTCCCATTAAAATCATGTAAGATACTTCAAACTCAATTTTCTATACTTTAAAGGCTTTCTCGACATCTATCTCATTACTCTTTGAAACCAGGGCCACAATTTGCAGATTTTGAGTCGACCATGCTTCCACTGCACTACTCTTATTCCAATGCCCTAAATCTCTTGAATGCTCCACCTCTTTGATATCCTTCATATCATCTTTTCTTTGTCAAATATCGGTTCCCCCACGTAATCTTGATCACCACCATAGATTAGATCTCTTACAAAATCCTATTCATCAACTAAGTATGTATTGAAATTAGTGGCAAATCCCAAACTACAACCTGCTGATTTTCGATGTAACCTACACCAAAATCAACATCGTTCTCCTTCAAATCATGTAGATCAACTAAATCTCATGATTTATTCTCTCGAACATAAGGCTCCCTATGCAGAGCGTGTGCATAGAACGGATGATCGAATGGAGCTTCATCATTCCGCTCCAACTCTGGGTCGGACTCTGATTTATGTCATTCTCCCTAAAAACCCTTGCAATTTGGATCTATCCCCGTAGATTCCTCTTTGTTTAGGGCACGTTGTTGTTAGGCCCACTTACGTAGCAATAGCTCTATAACCGCCTCTGTCAAGTTGTTGATTCCCTTGTCCAGTTGGATCATATAAACATCCCTTCAATAAGATCTCGACGACAAGCCATCGCAATTTGAAGCCGTCCTCGAACCATGCTCTGATACCACTTGATGCAGGAAGGAAAGGTGAGAAATTAAATCCACCATTTTCTTGAACCTTAAACAAGTAAAATCAGCAATGATGGAGAAAGAACATGGTAGTAAATCAAGCCAAAAGAAAAAGAACTTTCTTCTTTCATAACATAAAATTCATTCCAATAGCATTTCTCCCAAAATGTAACATTCAACCTTTTATAAACCTATGAAACCCTAATTCAACTTGCGATCAAAAAAACATTTAAGGCTCTAAATACCCCTAAAACAATGCTAAACTTTAAAAAATAACCCTGTGAACAGTAACACATGAACAGTAACTATAAACAGTACCATAAATCGTACTCGTGAATAGCAAAAAAAAATATAAAAAAACCTAAAATCCCAAAAAACTTAAAAACTCTAAAATATACCTTAAAACTAAATCAAATTATACATCCTTTGAAATTGAACAAAATAAAAAATAAGAATAATTTTTCCCTCCATCACCCCTCCAGGTTTGAAGATCCATTTAATCACATTTAGAGAGTCACCCTTAATCACCGAACTTCAGAGACAGTACTCATGTTTTAATCACGTCAGGTTGTCAAAGGACCTATGGCTGGGAGAGAGCCCATTGGAAGCTCTATTTCCAGACCTCCACAACCAAAGCATCGCAGTTTCTCACTCCTATGAATCCCAGGTAGGCCTACTGTTTGGATCATAGTTACCAGGATCACCTTTTAGGGGCTGATTCCACTCCGGAACCTGATTTTTGCACTCCATGAAGGAGAATCTCATTCCTTTGCAATTTTTAAACTTCGGAATCACGATCCTTCCTATGAGAAATAGAGATCCTGAGTTACACAAGATCCAGATTTCCTAGCATACTTAACGGGCTATAGGTAAACTAAACCAAATTTCCACCACTATGGGATCAAGATTCCTTTAAGATGGGACAAAGATTATTGAGACAAATTTCCCACTACTACTTTGATTCTCCGCCAAAGAAAAATTGGTGTCATTCGCGTGGCTATGTAATGTAACTTATGCGTAAGGTGGCATGGCTATGCAATGGTTATTCAATAAACAATATTACACAACACTTTCTTTCTTATATATATAATTTTGGGCTTCATCTTAATACTTTTATCATTCAATTAATAAGGATGGCCAGGATTGTTGTTACTTCGCATAAAATCGTAAATTACACTCCAAAATGCAAAAGATCAAAATAACACACAATGGATTGGTTTTTT